AGTAATCTCGATGTCTCGCATACTTTGATTTTGGTCGCAGGCGAGACAAAAACCAGATGATAAGCGTAATTCGGAAGGTCACATTCGAGAGAAAGATTACGGGATTGTGGTTACGACAATTAGAACATACCCGTCATATGTGAAACAGATATTCCATATCAACAGGAAACCAACTCGTGATGGCGTCCTTAAAATTTTCGAATGAATGATTTCAACTTCACCACCGTGAACGCTTGGTTTGATAGCTCCCTTATGAGCAGCATTCCTATATTAAGAAATCATGATAGGAAATGCAGGCTCTGGAATAGCGTATCAACTGGGAGATATTATTCTCCATATGTAGGCGTTGCTGGAATATTGCTACATAGGAATGGAAAGTTCACTATTGGGAAGCTGAAATAATTTTTTTTGTCGTAAATTTTTGTTCTCAACCAACCCCCATTGAAAAGATTGAACGAGTTGAGTCTATATTTAAGTCTTCCATTGAGATATGGTGCTGACGACACGCTTTCTTTTTTTTTTTGATAGATTATGATATATTGGTCTTTTTCATAAAGTTCATTAACCTCTCGGTCTTTAACAATATTGAAGGCCCTGAAAGGGATAATATCTAATCTTTGGTGTTTCACAGTCACATGTTGAAGGAGATTTATTGTCTATATTAACGTCTGATTTAACTGATGTAGAATAAAAAATAAACTTTTATACGCATACGAAATACTATGGCAGACGCGTAGCAACCCGTACGCAAAAACGCAGTTGCGTACACATCGAAAATTTGACAAAAATAAAAATATGGCCAATCTAGTAAGAATAAAACTGAAGTAATAGAATAAATTAAAAAGTATTATAAAAATATGCTAATAGTCACTTTGTAACTATATTTCGTTCCGGAAACCAGTCTACTCTTTTCATGTACGGAACCAGCATCGTGATTGTGTTGCTGATGCACACAATTAAAATAGCTGATCAGTCCTCGGTGTGTCAGAACACAATTGTTACGGCTGCAATGCCTCCTTACCCTGACATTTCTGAAGATTTCAAAATAACTGATGAAATAAAATATGATGTTCTTGGGCAACAAGTCATTCTTATGATTATTATGTGGTATATGTAGAGTCTTACATACGTCGTCATAACAGATTTTTTTAAACAATCCAGTCAAACTTAATATAAACTTAAGATTGTTAATGGTAATTTTCTTACAACGTCTTTGCCGTTTTTTTTTATTTGACGATCAACGTGTTTTTACTTTTTTATTCTACGTTCGGTCGTGCACGACGGGTGCCTCGTTCAACATGTTCCCTCGATTTAACTACACATGCCTCGAGACTAAAAGTGCTTATTCTCCATGTTCATTTAAAGTGCTTGTTCTCCTTGCTTGGCCGGTAAAAATAAAATACTCTCGTTTTGGAAGTAGATAAATAGAAATCGGAAATACTGAATTTCGTGCTTTTCATTCTTGATTTCTGGACTTCAAACGTATTTATATATAGTTAAAGGTTTCCTAATTATGATATTATAAAAGAGGGACGGAAGATACCAGAGGGACAGTCAAACTCATAGATCGAAAACAAACTGACAACGCCATGGCCAAAAATAAAAAGACAAACAGACAAATAATAGTACAGATGACACAACATAGAAAACTAAAGACTAAGCAACACGAACCCCACCAAAAACTGGGGGTGATCTCAGGTGCTCCGGAAGGGTAAGCAGATCCTGCTCCACATGTGGCACCCGTCGTGTTGCTTATGTTATTACAAATCCGGTAAATAGTCTAATTCGGTAGGTCACATTCGTGAAAAGGGAAGGTTATTGTAGTTACGACATAAGGAACATATCCGATATCATCTGTGAAACGGGAGAAGACATTATTAAGTTGTAAAACTTGTGTCTCATCCATTTGTTTAGTTTCTGAACAATAAAATATGTTTAAACTAAACGGTTATTCCATAACGGTCAACCAACTCGTGATGGCGTCCGTAAAATTTACGAAGGGATGATTTTTTTTCTGATCCGCTTCTTAATGTATTCCTATGCGGTAGATAAAGTTGCATTTATGGGTCAAAAACTTGTGGTTTTGCCTATATTTTACTAGGGAGTGTTTAACGACCTTGACTGGCTATAAAGCCCTCGCACGGTCGATAATCATCCGCTTATCATCTTGAGCATGTACCAATAACAAACTCATCATAAATACCAGGATTAAAATTGTGTACGCCAGATGCACGTTTGGTCTACAAAAGACTCATCAGTGACGCGCGAATAGTAGACTCGATTACTATAGGCTATTAACCGAACCACGAAAGCATTTTTTTTTTTTGGGGGGGGGGGGGGGGGAGGGGGGTGTAATAAATGCTTATTGGTGCGTTTTAGTTAGGTTAAGTATTTGAAATCTGAAATCTGAAATCATGACATCAATAGGGCAAAGTTTGTAGGGGTCAACATAACGTTATTATAAAATGTGTTGTAACATAGTTTATTCATCACAATGCTTATTTAAGCATTATAACAAGATAAGTTGTTAAAATGCCATAAAGACTAGATATTCATGTAGCTGTTGGTCAGGTCAATACACTGAATTCTATAGAGTAGAGTTCAATTTTCCATGGCTGAGTAAAATGTTTAAAAGTATTTTCTAACTTGTTTTATTCCTACCAAGTATTTATTAATGCATAATTACTATATTACATAGCTGGAATACTATAACAATTTGAAAATCTTGAGGTCCAAAGAGGGGGTTCAATTTTACATGGCTCATTAAAAATGTTTTTACATCTTTTCTTTCACGGTTTATCCCTACCAAATACTTATTAATGCATTATTACTATATAAAGTAGTTTGAATAGCTATGACAATTTGAAAATCTGAGGTCTATAGAGAGGGTTTCCATGGCTGAGTTATAAAGCTTAAAAATAATTTCTCACATGTTTCTAATATGTTTTATCCCTGCCAAATACTTATTAAAGCATTATTACTTGCTTCTTTAGTAGTTCATGTGATTCCCTCAGTTCTTGTTTTTTACTTTGATTGAAACTTGTTAATGAATTTATAAGATTTGAAAATCCGTGAACTTGGTTTTACTGTTGCCTTTAATATTGAATAAAATGCATACAGTCATGCTAAGAGTGGCATTAAAGACATTGGCAAACTGTATTAATGAAAAATAACATGTCTGTTAGTACAAATTATTAATATAAATAGACAATATGTAGGTTGTTTAGTAGGTATGTACAATTTTGAGTTTTACGTGTGTTATGGAACCCTCCTGACAAATTTTTGCACAATTCTTGGTCTGTCTGAGCTGATTGGCTAATCATTATATAATAATATCATACTGTCTAGTTTGTTACCTTGATTTGTTTTCTTAATCAATATATGATTGATTGATTGATTGGTGTTTAACACAACTTTCAGCACTATTGTGCTATTTTGTGGCGGTCAGTTTTAATTGGTAGAGGCAGTCAGAGTGCTAGAGAGAACGATGACCTTCGGTAAGGAAGACTGACAATCCAAGTCAATTAAGATTGGAGTCGTGTGCACCTGCCACATGCTGGATTTGAACTCACAACCTGTGTTGACTGGTTAGTGATACAGTAGTTCCACTACTTAGACCGCTCAGCCACCAAGGCTCCTAATCGCTATACATGTATACTGTGACCTATAATGGTTTACTTTTATAAATTTTGACTTGGATGGAGAGTTGTCTCATTGGCACTCATACCACATCTTCTTATATCTATATATGAGATTTGATCATCATCAGGTAAAAAAGTATAACAAAAATATCGAACTCCAAGTCAAATTCAAAAAGGGGAAGTTCATAAAAACTGACAAGATCAAACGCTATCAATCAACTACTACTGCCTTAATTAACTAAATAAGGGGTTCAATACTTATATACTTTATAAGTAACTTTTGTTTCTTTCATTGAAGAATCCAAGAGTTTTTGACCAAAACATGCACTGAAACTTTTCATCAAGATCAACAATTATAATAATCCTTAGTAATCACTGTACAGGCTCCGCCCCTACAACTATCAGTATCATCATGTCAAAAACACAGATTTAGATATAAGAAGATGTGGTATGAGTGCCAATGAGACAACTCTCCATCCAAGTCAAAATTTATAAAAGTAAACCATTATAGGTCAAAGTACGGTCGTACACAAATTTGTTTACATAAACTACAGCTGAATCATAGTTGCTTTTCAAAAAGAAACTTAATTCTAAAATTACGGGTTTGCATCACCAAGATATTTCCTGATAATTTTATTACTGATTACAGATTACAGAATGACACACAACTACTTTTATGCCATAGAAAAGGTTCAATTTAGACCTGGTTTGACATAAATAATGACACAGGCTGTATGCCCGGACTTTTTGGTAATTTCGATTGGGGACAATCTTTCTCTCCTGCAGGTAGCTGTGTTGTTACACACTCCTTGCTATGATAGCTATGTCTCAGGAAATAGATATTCTTTTAAAATATTCTTGCTTAAATTCTTATTCGTAAACTCAAACGAGCATAAAATATTTATCAAATAACCACAAACCTCACATGGGAGACACCACTTGCAGAGACAAGTGCACATTTTATTATTAATATTAATATAATAATGTGGAAAGTTCGTGTAAATACACTACACTTTGACTGCAATGGCTCAAATGACTTTAAACCACCTAAATTAACTCGTGCATGAACTCAATACCCCAATCGAACCGACCTTACTATAAATAACCAAACACGTGTCAACTATAAACAACCAACATATTTACATGTTCGATTTTTGTACAACTTTGATAAATACATATATTTAGCCATAGATCTTAACAATGAAAAGGGAAAATATTGTCATCATTCATTGTTCACTAAAAGATAACTGGCTGAAATAATTTGTGTTTATATACCTTTGATGAGTGGATGCTCATTAGAGAAGAGTCACTTTGGTATCTTTAGATATTCACTATGTAAAGCTATGAATAAACAAAATGTTTTTAATAGCATTTCCTTTTATTTAATATATAAAGTTCAACAAATATGCAAAGTTATCTTGTAAAATACAAATACCTCAAACAGACACATGAAACAATCTTTCAAAAAACAATCACTTGAAGGTACCTGTAGTTTGTGATAAAAAAAAAATCAAATGTAATTTTATATTCTTAAAATGTGTCTTTCAAAAAATAAAAAGTAAATTAAAATTTACAGCTTTGTTACAAAAGGCATTTGTTCTAAACAAAAATTAGAGAATGAACAACCTAATTTCTACAGAAATTAATAAATATTCATTTTTTTCATTGTAACATTGAGATTTACAAATTCAGTTCACAAAATGTCCACAAAATTACAAAATCTATTGAAATTAAGAAAATATTTAGCTTTTCACTATTCAATATTTAGATAAAAGATCTTTAAATTTTCTGTTAAACATGCTAACCATCTGAAAGTATTGAAACTACGTCATTTAAGAAAATATGATTTGTTATACAGAAATTTTTAGGTTGCAAAAATAAATCTTGTCTTACTTTATGCATATATAAGTCTAATAATTTCTTAAAATAAAAATGCTGATTTTGGTGATAATTACATTTAAAGAGACAATATAAACTATGTTTTCACAAGATATAACATATGTACAAGGAAAGATATAAAATTTTCAAACGTCAGATATCAAGAGTATGTCAGGTTTCAAGTATTGTATCTATTTCCATATATCCCCAACTAAAATACTTCCAGAATTTTGAATGTCTTAAAAAATGTCAACAAACAGAGGAGGATCAACAATTAAAACAATTAGCTATTTCAAAACTTCCAAATTTTGGCAATCTGATTTTGGATTTGCCTGCATTTTCAATTTATTTTTTGCTTATGACCACTTTCAACATAATGTACTAGAAGTCAAGATTTTCAAAGAAGCAAATCTTTTATACATATATACCATCCTTAATGCCAACACAAAGTCCAAAGTGTAAAAACAATCTTTTGGCAACAATAGAACTAAGAAAGTATGCCAATTTTCTGAATTTACTACATTCAAAACATTTTCTTTAACATTCACAAGAAAAGGCAGGAATATGAAAACTCAGAGATGCAAAAATGTAACAGGGATTTCTTTCCTCTAGAATCATTCTTTGCATCTGGATAAAATTGCCTATGATATATGTGTTTGGTTAGTTTATAGCAGTTACAGAAACTGACTTATTTTAATTTATAGTAAAGAAATCCTCACAAAAACATGATTTGGATTTTAAGGTCAATTAAGAACAATTACCAGATATATCTTGTTTTTTTGCTTTACCCTTTGTAAAAAATTTAGAAATTCATTCACTGGGAATTTTTTTAAATGCAAGTGACATTATAAAAACATGGTCAGTGCCCCAGTATTGACAGTTGAATGAATGATAATCACTTGACCAATAGTCAATCAACAGTATCTAAATTCACTGGTAGAAATTTAAAAAAAACTAATTTGCTTATCCTTGTTTGTTTTTAAAAATGTCTTTCTTGGCTGTTACTATATTGTTAATAAGAATTGTCAGAATAACATAAATAAGTACAATGTCTGTATGAAATCTTAGTATTTTACATGACAACTTAAATATCACATATTTAACATATTCAAGGTTTGACATAGGAATGAAAGCACTGTATAAAAAAAAAAATAAGTTTGGTTATTATTTATCATAAAATCTTATAATGTAAATAAAATTGAGAATGGAAATGGGGAATATGTCAAAGAAACAATAATGTACAATGTATTAATTCTGCAGTTGTGTACCTTGTTATTCTAAATAAGAAAACATAAAAAAATTCAGGACACATGCTCTAAATAAAATCCTAGATTCTCAAAGCATAAGGATGATAAATAGGTGTTCTGTGAACTTAGATGTATAAAATTGGCAATAAATATGGTACATGTACAAATTCCTTTAAGCCTGAATATAAAATAGAGAGAAAGAAAAAACTGATAAGTATCTTAATTATCCCATAAACTGGAAGAGAATTTTAATACTAAGTTTAATTTATGTATTTAGCTTTTAATTTTTGTGTCAGATTGGAAGCAGAAAAAAAGTCTTTATTTGAGATCACAAATAAAACATTTTGTTTTTTTTCTAATACAATGCTTTCATCTGAAGATAATATATTTTAAACACAATAATGCACCACTTAATAATTGAATGTACAGTTTTTAGTAGGAATACTACTTGTACATGAATTCTTCCCTACCCGTAGAAACGCATTTTTCAACATAAAAGTCTCTTGATTACATATCAATTATTTGAATGTTTTGAACTTCATGTCTGATTAATTTCAAAATATAAATTCGATTATAATGAAAATTAATTTACATTGAAAATTTTGCATTAACTTTTATATTCATTTCAATTAACAAGCAATAAATTTTACAAGAAAAAAATACTTTAGTTTATCTGAGGTCTTCTGAATAAATTAAAAAAATAAAATTTTAAGAGTAGTATTTTAAAGGGGAAAAAAATTCAAGATTAACCCAAGCTGTAGTATTTTGAATAATACCTCACACCTTTGGGTTCATTTTTTCGCGACTATTTACAAATGTGAAGCATTTTTCATGTCTCACATAAAATCAAAACAATATTTACAAATACGTGTAGCACTTTACATGACTCACACATTATGTACAGCGATATTTATGTCCCATACAGAAAGTATGTACACATGTGTAGCATTCATAATGACCAACACAAACTGAAGTTAAGCTTAGTAACACTCAAACTACAGTTTCAAACATACAAAATTATATAACATAATAAATATATTTAAAATAAAAAAAAAAAAAGTTGTGTAAATCTCCTCAATTTGACACAACCAACCTCTTCTTGAAAATAAACGAGCACATAATATATTATAGATGAAAAAAACATCTCAACCAAAAAAACTTTTTCTAAAAGTAGATAGTGTTAAAATGTTTTAAGCCCTTTCTCCCTCCTCCCAGTTTGGATCCAATGGAAACTCGGATTTATCTGGATCGATTACTGTGACTGTTAATCATTTAAACCCTGATGTTATTAAAACCTAGTACTGGAAATAAGGCATCATCAAATTTAGATATAATTTTCAGACTTTTTTTTAAAAATTTGTATCTTATGTTTTCAAACTAAACACATACAGAACCCTTCATCAACACATAAGACGTAAGTTTAAAAGATAGCACCCAAAAACATATTGGAATTTAATTTCATTTTTAAAGATAAAAATGATTTTAACCTTGCCAAACCATTCTTGAAAACCAGACTGGTTGGCTCTCTTGAAGAAATATCTTTAAAGTAGAGAATACAATTTGGAGGGAAAAATCTTATACCTTCAGTTTACTTAAATCTTCATGTGCACCAATCAACTTCCCTCCATAAAACACTTGTTTAAACATATCTTTCTAAATAACAAGAAGCATGGCAAAAAGTGAGAAAAATGAAGGAAAAGATATGTACAGACTATTTTTGGCCCCTTTAATTGGAAAATCACAAAGTATTATAAATCTAGTAATATCATCCTTTAAATTTTCAGAAAGCATTTCTTTTCAGTTAACACTATACTCTAAAAATTTAAAATAAGTTTTCGTCTATAATGTTTGCTTTGAGTCTTAAATGTTTACTTAATGCTTGTACAATGTAACAGAAAAAAATAAAAATTTGCATGATTTTTTGCCCAAAAATGTCTTATACAAAGATGTTTTTGTGTAAGGCTGTAATTGCTAATATTTAATTTGCCAAAATTTAGTAAATACAACTTATTTGTCAATTATGACATAACAACAAGATCATAAATGACATTGATGCACTAAAATGACCAGAATAAGTATATAAATTAATAAAATTATCATTTTTTAAGACAGAATTAAAGAAATTAACTTTTTTTAGACCACAGAGGCTAAATAATAGTTTCTTCATACCTTCTCCTTTCATGAATTATGACATATACTATCTAGAATTGTGAAAACATTGAGCCATTTATAGAAAATTATAATCAATACACAAATCAACCATTTTAAATTGCATAGATATGATTTCAATGGAATGAAACAAATACACTACATGTATAGAATCACAAGATGACTACCCTTCAAAAAGACACAATTACATGTAAAAGCATGAACAGCTGACAAAGTTCAACAACAGTATACACAAGGTGAATCAGTTAAAAGTCCCTGTTGGTGGTGAATGCCGGGTCTTAATTCATAACACTTTTTACTCGAGAGTGAAAAAGTTGTTCGCAAAACACTGAATCCAGTATTTTGATCGGTTGATTTCTGAGTCAGAGAACAATAATTGCGCTCGAAATTTTTATGACCGCAAGGCCTGGTGATTATGAGTGACTCACTCTGACATTTCTCTCCCTAAATGCCATAGATATTGTATAACAAGGACAAAGATCAGAATGTTATCACCACAAATCACCCTGTTTCAATTAACACTAGCAAGAATGTTTTTACAGGAATCCACTTGTGTCTACTGTATTGTTGCTACTACGATTAAGAAACCTAAAATCAAGAATCCTATTAACTGCGTCCCTGTAGTGTAATACAGCAACCTACTCTGGAGTAAATATTAATGACATGAATAATCTAAAAAGAAAACATTCCAAGGTTTCATAAAAAAACAAAATCATCTTGGTATGAATGAAGAAAATGCAAAGACTAGAAGATAAAAGCCATGCAGTGTGATGTTTGTCTTCTTAGACAATCCAGATATTTATGACATTTAACTAGATCAGAATCAATTACTTAGTAGTCTAAACCCTAACAAGACCCTTGCATAACAGAGCTATAACAGGTATTAGATATGGGACAATGAGAAGAGCAATTATTTTAATCTTGAAGATGACAAGGATTCTTGCAACTTTATGATGGCACAATGATTTATGTAAATGTACTAATTTATCTTAAATCTGTTTTAATCTATGACCAATCATTTTTAAATTAAGAAAATCTCTGAGGAATACTTTAAATTCAGAAATGTTTAGGTATATCAATTATTGCTGGACAATGGATACAAATGGGAGAATAGTGATTTTAATTTTAGGAAATTCTGTTTACCAATAATGCTATAAATATTTCAAATGCTTTTTTTTTTTTTAGTTTTGCAAAATCTACTATGTCGCATTTTTTGAAATTATATAAAGGATGCAAAACATTGTGAATTTTCTTATGATGCAGAATCATAAGGCTTCAAGAAAGTTTGATTAATAATTTCCATGATAAATTTTTTTGTAAATGAAAGAAATAGAAGAAAAAAAGTCACTACTACCTGTACATACAACTAGAAGAATGGTTATATGCAGCGGTATGAAAAATGTAATTAATACAAAAATAAATACTTAAGTTTACGTAAAATTTAAAGGGGCCATAACTGCTTAACCTTATCAATTATAAATGACCTAGACAGAAATGAGATATGACAAAAAATTATGAACATAAATATGCATGACAACCAAACCAAACAAAAACATGAAAATAAAAATGTATGTAGCACATGCAGCTTAGTCCAATCAGTTGAAAAAGTTGGTTTTATTGTGAGGCGGTTGGTAGTCAGATTGAGGGTTTCTTTGTTATACTTCACTACTCTCCACGGCTTTAACTGTTAGTCCATTCACTCTAGGGTATTTGTCTTCCATGTTTTGTCTTTGGGTTAGTAAATACTTAAACAGTTCATAAACAGACCATGAAATGCCTGTTGCCGGCATTTGGAATATCACACGTGCTTGGACACCTTTAAAATAGCCTCGCAGCCCTTGATATTCATAAACAAGTCTAAATGCTGAAGTCATACCATTCACATAAGAAACTCGAGACCTTGAACAGCATTCCTGAGTGTTCAATAATGTCTTGCATACATCGAGAGGCATAGTAGCAACAGCAGCTGCTGCCCCAGCAATTGCACCCGAGATCATGTGCGATGATGGATCGTAGCCCCGATCTTTGTTCATTAAATCTTGCATTATTTCATAAGTCATAAAATGTATACACTGAAAAGGTATGTTCATAGTCAACTGTGTTGTAAAACTTCTATAGAATGCCATTACACCTTCTTCCTTGTAGATAACTTTGATACAGTTCGAACATGATTTGTAAGGGCTGTCAAACATCTGCATTCTCTGTTTTACCACTGCAAATGAAGAAAAATAATGACATTAGAAGCTAGATATAACGGGCTGCACTAATTTTGGGGCAGCCAATGATTCGATAACTGAAAGCCATGTGACTTTCAGTTATCAAATCCTTAGCTGCCCCAGAAGTAGTGGTTTCAGTTAAAGCAAGACACACAAAATTTGTTCCAATATTTTTCGGAGAATAAATGACTGAAAATAAGAAGCCAAAGTTCAAGGACTTGACATTTTTCTTCTGAGAGATTGTAAGAAAATCAGTTAAATCTTATATGTCTTAAGCATGTAGAGATAACACTAAAGCACTTAAACACTATTGCATAAAGTTGAATTACTGTTATTAAAATTAGTGTTGATTAATTGTGGTAGTTAGCTAGACGTAGCTAATAATTCTGTAATATCCTATTGCTTTTATATGGCATGGGTTGTTTTCATATGAAACGAAAGCATATGACAGAATCAAATGATTCCTCTTTCAGCAAATAAAAGATCAGTATAATTTATGTATGATTTGAGCACCTACTGTAAATATATAGATATAATGAACCATCATTGAGGAGTTATGATGACTAGGAAGAAGCTCGACAGGGCCAAAATTTTCAAAGGGACATTACTCTAGAAAAAAAACTCAATGTACAAGAATATCCTAACCAAATGCACATATGCATATTAAGATCTGACAATAAACAATGAACCAACTTTCATATTGATATCATAAACCATGAAAATGGAGTTACAATGACATGGAGTTGCTGGACAGGGCCAAATTGTGTAAACTCAGAGACATGTCTCTGGGAAAACTTAATATACTGGAACTTCTTATCCACATGTACATCTGTTTAATTAATCTAACAGTCTACCAAGTTTAGTATACATAAGATAAAACATGTAGGAGGAGTGTCCATGACAAGATTGGTGTTGGACAAGCCAACATTTCTGTGTTGAAAGAGGTATAATTCTAAACAGAAAATCAATAGATGGGAACACCCTACCCACATGAAGATCTGCATATGAGAATTTCATAACTCTAAACAGAAAATCAATGGATGGAAACAGCCTACCCACATGAAGACTGCATATGAGAATCTAACTATGTACTAAGTTTCAGGTAGTTACGATAAACCATGATGGAAGTGTTAAGTTGCAATGACAAGGTCTGATCTGGAAACGGTCAAAATTTCTATGGTGAAAGGGATATAATTGTTTCTAACCTAAACAGTATAAAAAATCCTTCTCATGGGGATGTTTGCATATCACAGTGTTCTCCTGACTCCTGTGGTGCTATCTACATAGATATTGTAAAAGAATACGATATGAATGTAGTGCTAATCCTATAATTTATGGGAAATACTGTATCATGATCAATTACTCCAAAATTTTGAGGTGAATTAAACTAATGATTAGACAAGAGGCTGTCAGAGAGACAGCAAACCGGATTTTCCTGCAGAGGTCGAACCCTGAACAGTTGAGCAAGTATGGACACTACATTTAAACTTAAAACAGCTCTAAATTTGGATTGTGATTGAATATTTGACACATCATAGATTTGTGAATGTAGTCAAAGAACTGATATATTTGAAATTGGACATTTAAATACCTATTATGGTCCAATATTCAAAATCTAAGTATATATTAGAAATCAGCATATCAAAGAACCCCAAGAATTCAATTTTTGATGAAATCAGACAAAAGTTTAATCTAGGACCCTTTGGACCTCAATGTGGACCAATTTGATAAAGGAGCTCACAATCCAAAATCTCTTAATACATGGTTAGATTCAGCATTTGAAAGAACCCCATAAATTCAATTTTTGTTGAATCAAACAAAGTTTAATTTTGGACCCTGATTTGGACCAACTTGAAAACTGGGCCTAAAAATCTAATATTTAAATTGAGTTTAGATTCAGCATTTGAAAGAACCCTATATATATATTTAATTTATGTTGAAATGAATCACAGGTTAATTTTATCCATAATATTTTCTGTGCAAATGGAAATAACTCAAACTGGATAAATAGTTCTCTAAAATAAGATATGATGCAATTTTTCAAATTATAATCAATAATATAATAACAACAACCAGTGATGACTAAGTTCTCTAAAATTAGATATGATTTAACACTCAAACATTGTTAGAATCAGCATATCAAAGAACCAAAGAATTCAATATTTGATGAAATTAAACAAAAGTTTAATTTAGGACCCTTTGGACCTCAATGTGGTATTATCTTATTAATAATAAAAAGCTCAACCGTTTACAAGTTCTTAAACAGGAGGGGGTGGGGTGACCCAAGGGGACTCACCTTATATTTCATTTGATTTGTTTTATTGTCCCATACAAGAATATATATGGTTACGGGGTGGGGATCTTGACCATTTACAAGTTTTCAAAAAGAAGGGGGTGGGGGTTACCCCAGGGGACTTTCCCTCAATTTCATTTGATTTGTTTTATTGTCCCATTCAAGAATATATATGGTTTAGGGGTGCGGATCTCGACCGTTTACAAGTTATCAAAAAGAAGGGGGTGGGGGTTACCCCCATGGACTTTCCCTATATTTCATTTGATTTGTTTTATTGTCCCATACAAGAATATATATGGTTTAGGGATAAGGATCTCGACCGTTTACAGGAGGGGGGTGGGGGTGACCCAAGGGGACTCGCCTTATATTTCATTTGATTTGTTTTATTGTCCCATACAAGGAAATGTATGGTTTCAGGGTGGGGATCTTGACCGTTATCAAGTTTTCAAAAAAAAAAGGGGGTGGGGGTTTCCCCAGGGGACTTCCCCTCAATTTCATTTGATTTGTTTTATTGTCCCATTCAAGAATATATATGGTTTAGGGGTGGGGATCTCAACCGTTTACAAGTTTTAAAAAAGAAGGGGGGTGGGGGTTACCCCCATGGACTTCTTCTATGTTTCATTTGATTTGATTTATTGTCCCATTCAAGAATATATATGGTTTAGGGGTGCGGATCTTGACCATTTACAAGTTATCAAAAAGAAGGGGGTGGGGGTTACCCCCATGGACTTTCCCTATATTTCATTTGATTTGTTTTATTGTCCCATACAAGAATATATACGGTTTAGGGATAAGGGTCTCGACCGTTTACAGGAGGGGGGTGGGGGTGACCCAAGGGGACTCGCCTTATATTTCATTTGATTTGTTTTATTGTCCCATACAAGGAAATATATGGTTTCAGGGTGGGGATCTTGACCGTTATCAAGTTTTCATAAAAAAAAGGGGGTGGGGGTTTCCCCAGGGGACTTCCCCTCAATTTCATTTGATTTGTTTTATTGTCCCATTCAAGAATATATATGGTTTAGGGGTGGGGATCTCAACCGTTTTCAAGTTTTTAAAAAGAAGGGGGGTGGGGGTTACCACCATGGACTTCTTCTATGTTTCATTTGATTTGATTTATTGTCCCATACAAGAATATATATGGTTTCGGGGTGGGGATCTTGACCATTTACAAGTTCTCAAAAAGAAGGGGGTGGGGGTGACCCCCATGGACTTCCCCTATATTTTCATTTGATTGGTGTTATTGTCCCATACAAGAATATATATGGTTTAGGGGTGGGGATCTCGACTGTTTACAAGTACTCAAACAGGAGGGGGTTGGGGTGACCCCAGGGGACTCGCCCAGGGCTTCCAAAATTATTTTTAGCCAGCCGGACATTTTATATATTATCCCGATTTTAATCCCTTAAGACTAAATATATAAACAAAAGGCAATTATGGTATTCAGTTGCCGAGTTGGCCATCCCAATGATTGACATTAAAAAAAAAACGATATTAAACTTTCTTTGATTCAAATTCGAAGTTCTGACGTAAACTGTTAAATTGACAGTGCATCATTAGAAGTGTGCAACATCAGCGTACTTATATCTGACTTAAACTCTTTATTTGTGCAAAATAGCGTTGTCAAAAACTTTACTTTCATTTTTAAATCTAAACCGGATGTTATCTTGACTAGTTCAAACAGAGACATGTCTCTAGGTTCAAACAACGTGGTTGTGACGATTTTTCATTTTCACCTTTTAATTTTTTCATCAAATCATATTTGTAAACGTATTTCTGATAATTTAAATCTTTGACTAAATTAATTAGATGCAAACCACTGAAATGTAAGAAAATAACTTTGAATAGACCGATCAATGTCCGGTTCAAAATAGTTTACCTGTCACCTGAACAGGTAAATTTCAGCTGTTTGACAACTAATTAGCCTTGATTAAAATGAGAAGGTATTAAAGAAGGGGTTGTTTTGATAGTACTTAATGATCATGTCACTTTTATGACCGGAAATGTGTGGCTGTTAAAGGCAAAACGTTGGGTCAAAAAGATCACATATTATGTAAAAATGACCGTCTCTTAAGAAAGCCTTCAAAACTAAAAAGTAGATGACCGTTTCATGCTTTGCCCAGCCGGACTTTTACTGGAAATTATACAAATGTCCGCAATATATGACCGTTTTGGAAGCCTTGGACTCGCCTTTTACTTCATTTGATTAGTTTTATTGTCCCATACAAGAATATATATGGTTTCAGGGTGGGGATCTTGACCATTTACAAGTTTTCAAAAAGAAGGGGGGTGGGGGTTACCCCCATGGACTTCCCCAATATATTTCATTTGATTTGTTTTATTGACCCATACAAGAATATATATGGTTCAGGGGTGGGGATCTCAACCGTTTACAAGTTATCAAAAAGAAGGGGGGTGGGGGTGACCCCCTGGACTTCCCCTATATTTCATTTGATTAGTGTTATTGTCCCATACAAGAATATATATGGTTTAATGGTGGGGATCTCGACCGTTTACAAGTTCTCAAACAGGATGGGGTGGGGGTGACCCCAGGGGACTCGCCTTATATTTCATTTGATTTGTTTTATTGTCCCATACAAGAATATATATGGTTTCAGGGTGGGGATCTTGACCGTTTACAAGTTTTCAAAAAGAAGGGGGGTGGGGGTGGTCCCAGGACTCCCCCAATATTTCGTTTGATTTTCCCATACAAGAATATATATGGTTTAGGGGTGGGGATCTCGACCGTTTACAAGATAAAACTCAAATTTATTTCCATGAACCAGTAACAAAACACCAAAATAATTCTCTAAAATTAGATATGACTTAACCACTCATAAATCTCTAAAATTAGATATGATTTTATATCTATCAATTAAACACATCACTTTTCAAAACAAATAACTTAAACTTATTTCCATAAACCAGTAAAAAACCAGCAAAATACTTCTCTAAAATCAGATATGATGTTATATCTATTTCCATATTATAATCAAATTTAATTAATAGTTGCTAATATTGTTTCTTTCATGTGTCAAAAAATAATACAGATCTGCAACTTATCTATCAATGTCAAAAACTTTATCTCATAATAAAAAAAGATTATTATCTAATTAAAAACAAGTTCAGATTCAGCACTTGAAAGAACCCTATATATATTTAATTTATGTTCAAATATCACACACACAAACTGATTAATTTTCCAAGGGGACCTGCAGTTTATTTCATATGATTTGTTTTTTTGTCCCATACAAGGATATATATGGTTTAGGGGCGGGGATCTTGACCGTTTACAAGTTTTCAAAAAAAAAGGAGAGTAGGGGTTACCCCAGGGGACTTCCCCTAAATTTAATTTGCTTTATTTTATTGTCCCATACAAGAATAAATATGGTTTAGGGGTTGGGATCTTGACCGTTTACAAGTTTTCAAAAAGAAGGGGGTACTGTTTACCCCCATGGACTTCCCCTATATTTCATTTCATTTGATATATTGTCCCATACAACAATATATATGGTTTCTGGGTGGGAATCTTGACCGTTTACAAGTTATCAAAAAAAAAGAGGGGTAGGGGTTACCCCAATGGACTTCCCCTATATTTCATTTGATTAGTTTTATTGTTCCATACAAGAATATATATGGTTTAGGGGTGGGGATCTCGACCGTTTACAATTTCTTAAACAGAAAGAAGGTGGGGATGACCCCAGGGGACTTGACTTTTATTTCATTTGATTTGTTTTATTGTAACATACAAGAATATATATGGTTTCAGGGTGGGGATCTTGACTGTTTACAAGTTTTCAAAAAAAAAAATCATTATCATATGCTGAAATATTTATAATATCTAATTGAACAGAACTATGGTTGTTTAACATAGTACTCTAACACAATTAATAATGTAATAATCTTCAAAATGTCTAATGATATAGCTTATAATCATTACCACTTAGGAAATAGATAATTTTCAAATAAATCTGTCACTCCAATTTTTATTCTGAGATAAGACAAATCATAAAAAGATAACAACAGTAAAATATTTAAAAATTCTACTTTTGGATATTAAAAATGAAGATAACTCACAAAGGAGATATACTAAAATCTTGAAAATTAATAGAGACCTTCATTAAGTCCCAGGAAACAACATATTTAAATTTGAAAAAAATTTGTTAAAGCGTTTTCATGTTATTGTGCGGACTATGTTTGGCAGTCGCCAGAGCCGCCCAGCCGCCCGCCATATATAACCATTTAAATAACCGATATTTCCTTCGAAAATCCGGTTAAAAATGGTCTGGACACAGGCTGTTTTCTATACACCCCCTTTATACTTGTAGTTCCTGTATAAAACCTTTAGTGACCAAGCTCACTTGCCACTTGCTATTTTTTCCACTATTTGTTTCCCAGTCTCCAAATGTTCACCTTTTTTAATATAACATCAAGTAGATTTTAAAATTCAAGCTTAATCTGGTCAAATTCATAAAAAAACAGATGTAATAATGTTTCAAAAGGTCTTATCTGACATGCAAGTGTTTTGTCAACCACAAATATTTAAAAAACATCTGCATTTCTTTTATCATCACATTTTATCATCACATGCAGATTAAATCTACCTCATGATATAACATATCACTTGTTCAGTGTGTTATCTCAATATCAAAGTCTTGACAAATATAATTTATCAATCAAAATACCCTTATCAACTCTCTCACTTAATAATTAAGAAATAATTCATGGGGGCTTGAATATATCGTGATTTTACCACAGGTTGGCCCTTTATGACAAATATTTTACCCTGAGCGATAGCAAGGGGTAAAATATCGGCATAAAGGGACAACCCGTGGTAAAATCACGATATATTCAAGCCCCCATGAATTATTTCGATTTTAATAGGACAAATACGGCAATTCTTTTGGATCGAAGCGCTCTAGGTAAGGCATTATTTGCCGTTCCCATAAATAATGCACTATTAAATTGACGTAAAAGAATGAAGCAAACTGAATAAATGGCATGCTTAAACTATTTACAATGACATATTAAGATAGGTTTGAATGAATCTAAATGATAATTGTATTTATATATCTTATATGGAAACAAAAAATGGCTTATATAACACATTTTAGCATCGTTTGTTTACGTTTCCTTGTTGTGATGATTTTCGGTTTCACAATCATCGTTCTATGACGTCGGGTAGCTCATTCATAAAAAAGCATATGACGAGGGAGTACGATCGGAACAGCCCAAACAATATATTCATATTTTACCACGGGTGTGTACTCAAAGCGTTTGAAGAACGTCATGTTAGAATATGTAATATACAGCAATAAATGTGTTGATATAAACAAGCACTATCTTTAAAAAAGATATCTGACCATTCAGATGTGAGCATATAGTTTAACACAAACAAAAAATCTTTATCATCATGATCATAGTTAAACAAATTGCACACAATTTGACTATATGTCAAGCACAACTTTAACAATTAGAGATACAACCTATTTCGGTGTGTATATCGTGAACGGAGGGACGCCAATGGGAGATATCTATATAATATAGCTTTTGATCAGAAATTAAATTTGTGATATATGTATTTTGACATTCTTTATTTCAAGTATAATATTTTGTACTCTTTGAGATTATTATTACGCCTTGGAAGTTTTAGATTGCACTTGTAAGTACACAAAATCGATATGATATATTTATAGCACTCAAGCTATTAATAACCTAATAGGTTCCTAACTGACCTGGTAGATCTAATGAACCTGTCAGTGATATATTAAAGGCTAAGCCTACAAAGTCCAAACAATTTGACAGTTATGATAATGACACCTTCTTTACCTGAATTTATTTGTATTTATCTGGATAATTTCATTTGTAAGTTTGATTTTAAGTCCGTAATGTTTTCCTTTTATTGTAGAATATATCTTTTTTGGTTGGTTTTTCTTCAATTCCGAAATTTTGTCCAATCAGAGTAAAGATTTGTGACATCATGCATGCCGTTACCATAGTTAAGCGTCCTTTTTAAATGGGTCAGAAACCGAAATTATTACTGACTGCGCCAGTAAAAATAAACTTAAAGATTTATTTAATACCTTCTGCAGGATTCATCACCATATCATGTAGTAATGTTGACAGCAAACCGGCGGAACCTGTTAGAATAATAATGAAAACATTTTACAAATATTCATACATATTCTAGAATTTTCTGTTTTACTCTTACCTTTGAAAATAAAAATAATTCAACATATGTGTAATGTGATAAGATTTTTGTTCACTTGCTCCTTTCATGATTATTTGTTCTTTATGTCCAAATTTTCTGTATCAGAATCTTGAGGAGTATGGCTAATTTCATTGTGTGTGCACCAAAATAAAAATAATGTAATACATAATTCGTCCAATAGATTGTTTAGGACATTGTCACCATTCATAGTCTTGTCCAATACAGATTGTTTAGGACATTGTCAACCATTCATAGTCTTGGTGAAAAATAAGGAAATATGACACAGAATGCATTTTGATCCTGAAACAGTGAATTCTGTGTAAATCAAATATTTCATACTATTAAAAAAAATACTTCCCTTTGCAATTTTTTACAAGAGTTGTCTACCATGTGAAAAAAGTCATACATGGGGAAATACTGTTTTGTTTTTTTTCATTTTCCCTTATTTTATCTTGATATATGTTGAACTGACATGATGGTCACATCTATTTGTATCTCTTTATGTAAAAAATTTTTTTAAATTTTTCATCCTTAATTTTTAATATCTGTTGATCGTATGTGTTAAACGCAGATATTCTCTGACAGAAAATGATATTTCAGCACAAATGAAAACAAATATTGAAGTATCTTCTATGAAAATGAAAAATCTTAATGAAAAATGCAAAAGATTATTAAATCATCTTTTGACTCAAAAATAAATTAATCAATCCTGTTTGAATAGCAGCACTTAGTCAGTTGTTTCTTGAATATATCAGCATCACAATATGATTCTGGTCATGGTCATGTGATCTTTACCTGAAAATCTCATAATACAGATTAATACCATATAATGCTAAAGAGTGATTCATATGCCTACTTCGGTGTTAAATATATCACTTGTCACAGATAATTATCAAAAGGGTCCTGCACTGCTCACCTTTATCATTTGGTTCTTTCTTTTCACAAAATGAGCTGAAGATAATAGATAGGTTTCGATATGACATATTTGAGCTTGCATGATTTCTTATGTCTGCCATTTTGAGGGGTAAATGGTTGATCTTCTTGTTTGACCAACCAAATTTAAACATGTGTTGCAACCAAGTCTGATGAGAGATCCTTACTAGATTGTAGTGATGACTCAATCAAGACTAAAAGAAATTGTATAAGTTCCTCTGAACTTTTTCTAGCGATCAGCCTAAACAAGTGGAATTTGGCTGATTTATAAAGGAATTTGTGCATCTTTATATCCAAAATGGTGACAAAAGGGAAGTAACTCTTGCTCAAATTGTGTGTTGACTTGAAATATATCTATACATGTATCAAAAAGATCTTTTTGCTCTGCCTTACTAATACAAATGCAATGTAAACATGTATTAAACAGGTTGTGGCATGAGACCTTTGGAAACATGATCTAAATGCCCCATAATATTTTTATTTGCTCCTGTAAGTAAGACTATAATGGCCCACTCATCAAGCATAGATTTGCTATGAATTGGTTCAAAAATTTCATTTCACAAGCTAATACTATTACAAATTAGTAAAGACAGGGAAATAGGAAATGTTCAGATTTTCTTTACTTTAAACTAGTACATGTATTAAGAAACTACAACTGATTATGTCAAGAATTTTTCAGACAAATTTCCTTAAAAAAATATCTAAATTTTCTTCATAATAATTTTTATTTTATTTTCCTATCACCTAAATAGTTAATACATCACATGGTCATTCAATTAAAAGATTTCCTAGTAATCTAAAGACAATTGTATTGACCTAATATCTTCTAAAATGAAAACCCCCCTCCCTTTTAAGCAACCTAATTGAAAAAGATGCCATGGATGTGAAGCATTTGGGACTCTTTCTATGCACAACTGTACAGTTAAAATGCAGTGATAGATGCTAAGTAAGGTATGTTGCTACAAGTACAAATGTATAGACTAGGGACCTAAAAATAGTTTTTTTTAAATTTTTTATTATGTTTCAGAGTAGTAACACAACATGCCATTGATAAGAAATATGAAATGAATATATTGGTTCTAATTGATTTACAAATAGTGATAGAATAGTATTTTCAAAATATACAACTTAAAATCAGTAAAACTATGTTTCTTACCGTGAGCAAAATGGTTTCCTTGGTGGCCACCTGAAATTATTTTCTTCATTTTTTCATAGCATGCAAAGTACAGTGCATGAGCAGGTCCAGCACCACCAATGACTGCACTTACACCTCGCACAGTGTTGCGTACTCCCTCATATCTTACAATCTTATAAAAGGCATCAGCAATACTTCTGTAGTCAGCTTTAGGATCTGGTATGAGGCACTGCATTCGAGTCTACAACCAAAAAAAATTTACCTTGAACATATGAACCACATGGCTATTGATAAGTGTCACTGTGAATCAGATATATCCTCTATTCATGCCCTGTGTTTGAAATTTTCATGAACATTGTATATCAGCCCCATGGGGCAAAGGCCTGCAGTCTCCCTACAGGGCCTGTTTAATTGGTGCAAATTTAGTGAAACATGCACTGGGTTTGGCTCATTGTTGAAGACCGTACCTATGGTTTATCAAATTTACGTCATTTGGTCACTGGTGGATAGTTGTCTCATTGGCAATCATACCACAACCTCTTTACACTTTGTACTTATTTTATTCTATTTTCTATAATATAGCTCTTTGGACATGATGGATTTCTTGGCATTTTCTTAGATTAATACTTTTATTAGCTGTGCTATTGTAAAAAAAATGCATGTGAATTAGTGAGAGCATACTTGAGATGTAGTGAGACATGAAAAATTTACAAGTCTTTTACAATCAAATTAGCATTACTCTGGAATAACTAATCTAGTAAATCGAATCATTAAAATCAAAAGGTAGTTAATCCCCATGGAACCTTACATTGTGTAAAAATTTGGTTTAGTATTTTTTAAAACATACTCGAGTCATTTTGGGCTAGCTAGTAGGAATGGATGAACATTGGTATAGTACCTCCTACATTTGTACTTCAATACGTGTATAAAATTGACTGAAGCTTTATAGTAAGATTTCTGAGATAAAGCAAGAAGACACTGTTTCAAGTAATTCTTATCAAATTCCAGCCACTTTACATTAACCTTAAATAAAAAAATGTTGAAGTCGATCATCTTTTTGAAGTTTAATCATCTTATTACTGATGATAAAATGTTATCATGGTTATTAATAAAATCTATCTAAAGTAAATGTATTTAGTAGTGTTATTGTCTTAGAAAATGCAAATTCTGGAAATTTTATTGCATACCTCTAAAACTTATTTGACACGAAAATCCTTACAGTAGTCATTGGTAATAATTAATAGCATAATATACACATGTTGTGAAAATTAAATCAAAATACTATGACAAATTTTTCATCATAAGCTGACAATCAGGTCCAAAATGTTAAAAAATTTTGTTACAGCTCACTAGCCCAGGACTTATCGGCAGCAGGATTTACTAGTCCTGTTGATAGAACTGCTAGCCCAGCAAATCAGACCTGATAGACCGGACTTTCAACAAATATTTGAGTCAACTGGACATTTTATTCTGATTCAAATTTCAATCCTGTAAGACTTGGTCACAAAGACAATCATTGTTAAAATGTTTGCATCATCACAATGCCTGAATAATTGACATTAAAAGTCAATAAAACGATACTAAACTTCAGAAGACTTTTGATATAATTTTGATGTTCTGACGTAAACTGTGAAATCGACAGTGTATCATACAAAATGTTAAAAATAAGTGTACTAAAATCTGCCTTAGACTCTTTATTAATGCAATATCACGCTGTCAGAACTATACTTTCTTTTTAAAAGCATTTAACCTATTACTGGATGTTGACTTGTTAATTGTAAAACACGGACCAAAGATGGACACAAAAAAATCCGTGTACGCTGTCAAAGCACAATTCAGTTAATGTAGTTCTTTCCACGTTATTTCTTCTTGAAAATATTTGAACTGAACGTTTAGTCAAAGGGTTCCATGATAATGCTGGCATTTTTGAAGAATTCGGATGCGAATTTAAATCTCACACCTGCTTGCATGCTCACACGTGTTTCAACAACGTGGTTCTGTCGAATTTTCACTTAAACCCTTTTTTTTCTTTTTTTTAATTTATCATTAAATTGAGAATTTCATGTTAATATGTATTTCTGAAAGGCTAAATCATTTTTACTATGTAGCAGGTCACATCAATCAATGCATCATACCCCCAATACTGTTAATTTAAAATATCGCCAAGTACGGACAAATCGAATATGATATAGTACAGCAATCAATGCATGATACTGGTCCACCAAGAGTCATATGCATTTGTTCTATTTTTAAAACATGTACAAAATCAGTTCAAATTCTTGGCATCCCGGATAACGTAATTGAATTTGATTGGCTAGGATAGAATAGTGATGAATGGATTTTCCACTCTGTATTTTGGAAACACCAAGAATTTTTTGTTACTAGTCTGTCGGGCATATTGGGTTACAAGTTTTTATTGCCCGAGATGTAAATGATCTAGTCCCGGGCGTCGGGCTAGTGGATTTTTTAACTCCTGACAATTCTTCAAATGCTAAATAGAGGTGTTTTTTTACATTGTCCTGAAATCTACAAATCTGCAAAATTTGCTCTCCCAAAAGACTGATTTTAATATGACTATTTTCTATTCAAAGAAAAAGGTACAACTACATTTTTTTTAATATAACAGTACTAATTGGCTATAAGTATTTCATAAAAATTTCTGTAAGTTAAAGAAATAGTTATTGAATTTTTCATTCTGTATTTATAAAACATTGCTTTGAAAATATTACTTTAAATTTAGAGTACATAATTCATTAACATCCCAAAAAATGACTGTAAATACACGATAAAAAGTAGAAAATACACAAATTCAGGACATCCTTAATTATATCTTGATGGGGAAAAGTACTTGTAATACAATAGCCGAAAAAGATATTCATAATTTAATTGTTTCCTGTGATTATCAACTCCCTGGCAAATCAAATATGTTGGGGAAATTCTTGAGTACTATGTTTATTTAAACTGAAATGTTCCTGAAATTTAACCTTCGTTTTTCTTTCTATAATCTTGTGAATATCCTGTGACAGTGTGTCATCACCGTAGTTACATCACACTCAAAATATGTCACCAAGTACAAATCACATTATATAACTCAAGTATCTTTAATTTTTTAAGTGATCTTTCGCGGTAAAAAATGCCCCAAAATTTACCTTCTTCTTTCTATTTAATCCTTTTTAAAGTGATGTACATGTAAGACTAAGAATAAATGTACTAAACACGTGTACATTTAACCAAACACATGTCATCTTGATTGTAAGGTAGTTGTAATAAATGAGTTCATTTGTAGAAGTAATAAACTGGTTAAGGTAATTTGTCAGCAAAAAACGGTTAAATTTATAATTTTACCCAAATCCCCAAACAGTGTGTGTGAAATGGTTTGAACAAAAAGTGCTGTCGAGTCTTAAGCAAATGTAATGCACTTGAAATTTTGATTAAAAGATATTTTTTTTACAAGATGTTCATGTTACATTATAATCATGTACATGTTATTATAATTGTAAATTAATACTGAACTGATGACGTCAACGTATCCCACAGTTCCTCTTATCCTAATTAACATACATGTGTATATGTTTTTAACTGGCAAAAATTAAAATGCAAGTTTTAAATATTGTTTGTTATAGAAAAAAAATCATATTTAAATAAAAGTATCACGTTTACTTCTGAATTTTCATGAACTTTATATAGATACACAGTCTTCAGTAATGACAGTTCAAATTTTGTTACTATAAATAAACATTTACAAAATTTATGTTGGTAAATATTAAAGCATGCCATACTGTGTATCAAAATCTGCTTTTATACAGATATCAACATAGCGATTTTCATGATTTTTTTTTAACATTTTGAAAGAACCCTTATTTGTTCAATATCATCATGATAATGCACAATGTATATTTGTACATTATACATGAACTGGAATTATTTTCATTGATAGACATTTCCTGCTTCAAACATTTGACAAACTGCCAATCAGTCCTATGCAACAAGTGCAATGCTTAAAATATTTGAGGAAATCTGTTTTCTTACAATAATAACTACAGACAAATGCATGGCTCAGCTCAAAGGAGAACAATGAGCACAAAAGTGAAAAATATTCATATAACATTAATAGCCATTTGGTTAGCATGGTTAAATCTCCTTTGTTACAAGTACATGTATATATTTTTCTGAAACAAACGCATCGTTACAATTTATTGATTTAAGTTGCTTAAATTTGTTAAATTTATACATTTTTAAATAGGAAACAATGAATGTCATAAACTGAATAAATAGTTTTTCCTCATTGAAATTAAAAGTTAAATTGATAAATTCTATTTTCTTTTTCTTTAAATATGCAACAGTGCTCTTTATTTAGTTGGTAATTCCTGACAAGTTGAAAAATATAACTGTGTAACTACATTGTACAAATGACAATTTTAGACATACACCATGTAAAATGTAAACTGATATTGTAATGGTATTCTCAGGGGTGAAATAAAATTGGATTTAAACAATTTAAATAAGAATTAAACATGCTAAATACATAGGATTCCAATTGCAAGATCTGTCAATGAAAACCAAACCTTACAAACAAAGTGAACAAGTACTTATTTTAAGATCTCACCAGTTCTAGATCTCCTTATAAATATTGGTTCCAAAAAGAAGAAGTCATATTCCCAATGATTTTCAAGTATTGTGAGCCCTGCAGGTTTATGTATTTAAAATTTACATCTAATAATGGGAGTTTGTACAGTTTTATTTTACAATTGTAATATAAAATATATTCACAGTGATTAATGGTTGATCTAGAACAAAATTTCTCAAGAATTGAAAAAGCAGGCTGTGAACGGTTAAGTGCAATGTTTGCGATTGTTATTATACATGTTTTCTTGCATGTAGCTCACTATTTATTGTGTTTCATGGGAATTGGTAAAGAAACAATGTTTAAGGATGTACACCTCAGAGAAGCCAAAAATTTCTAAAATTAAACATTTTTTCTTAACCTAATTTTAGGGTTTATATGACTGTAAAAAAATAATTGGTGAAGAAAAAATCATATGGTGGTGCACTTCTTTTTTTGCTACGGCCCTTAGAAAGTACCCAATTTTGATGATTTTCTCATTTTTTATCAATTTTTGGGTGATTCCACAATTAAACTTTTTTTCATACTTTCAATAAAGATGAAGTTATGCAATCTGAATAAATTTAACTTAAAATAAAATGCTCCGCTGGGGCACAGCTTGATACGACCGCAGAGGTCGAACCCTGAACATTTGGGGCAAGTATGGACACAACATTCAAGCTTGATACAGCACTGAATTTGGATTGTAATTAAATATTTGACACAGCATAGGTTTCTCACACAGAATGAATGTGGTCTAAGAACTTAAAAATTTTTTAATTTACCTATTCAAACCATATCATTATTATTTGCTTTTATATATAAATCAGAAATAACCAATTTAAAATGAAAAAAGGGGAAAAAAATCCTCCCCCCCCAATTTTTTGAACCCCCTTATGATTCATCACCCCCAAACTCAATCCCAGCTTTCCCTTTGTGGTATGGTACCTTGCAGTACAATGCCAGAGAGATCCATACACTTGAACACAAGTTATTGTCTGGAAACTAGAAAAATGCTTTTTTTTAAGGCCCCTTTTTGGCCCCAAATTCCTAAACATTTAGGGCAATTACCCCCAAACTCAAACCCAGCTTTCCCTTTGTGATATGTAACCTTGCAGTACAATTTCATAAAGATCCATACACTTACACACAAGTTATTGTCCTGAAACTAGAAAAATACTTGTTTTTTTGCCCTTTTACGGCCCCTAAATACTAAACTTTTGAGGGAATTACTCCCAAAATCAATCCCAGCCTTCTATTTGAGGGTTGGTACCTTGCAGTACAATTTACAGAGAGATCCATACATTTGAACACAAGTTATTGTCTGGAAACTAGAAAAATGCTTATTTTTGGCCCCTTATTCCTAAACTTTTTGGGCAATTACCCCCAAACTCAATTCCAGCTTTCCCTTTGTGATATGTAACTTTGTAGTACAATTTCATAAAGATCCATACACTTACACACAAGTTATTGTCATGAAACTAGAAAAATGCTTGTTTTTTGCCCCTTTTTGGCCCCCAATTCATAAAATTTGGAGGCAATTACCCCCAAAAATCAATCCCAGCATTCCCTTTGTGATATGGAACCTTGTGATACAATGTCAGAGAGATCCATACACTTACACACAAGTTACTGTCATGAAACTAGAAAAATGCTTGTTTTTTGCCCCTTTTTGGCCCCTAATTCCTAAAATTTTGAGGCAATTACCCCCAAAATCAATCCCAGCATTCCCTTTGTGATATGGAACCTTGTGGTACAATGTCAGAGAGATCCATACACTTACACACAAGTTATGTCTGGAAGTTACAAAAATGCTTATTTTTGGCCCCTTTTTGGCCCCTTATTCCTCAACTGTTGGTACCATAACCCCCAAAATCAATCCCACCTTCCTTTTGTGGTATTGAACCTTATGGTAAAATTTCATTGAGTTCCATTCACTTAAACTAAAGTTAGAGTGCAAAAAATAATGTGTCTTCGGACGACGACAACGTCATACCAATATACGACCACAAAATTTTTTTTGCGGTCGTATAAAAACTATAGGTAGGTGTTAATATAAGAAAGTTTTATCATATTTTGATGCTTTTTCGTGTCAAATTTACCATGTATACCATGCTGTCAATTTTGTAAATTTCTGATTTTTCTCTATTTTAAGAACAAAATGCATATTATTTCAACTTCTTTGTTATAAATGATTGAAAAAATATATATCTAAGAAATTTGAAAAGAAAAAATTCGTAAGGGTTCCGCGGAACCCAGTGTCTCGCCTACTTTTTCTGTTAATCGCAGGCTCAACAAAAATGAGGAAGTAAATCAATAAAAATATTCCTCTTGATACTATCTTTTGATTGTAAGAAGCTTCTGTCCAAGTTTGGTAAAAATCCAGGATAGTTTATGAATCTAATAAATGTTTAAAAACTTTAACTGCAGACTGAATGTAATGTTAACTGGAAGAAAACAAAATTTCCTTCTAGATACTAGCATTTGATTATAAACAAGCTTCTGTCCTAGTTTGGTACAAATCCAAAATAGTATAAGAAAGTTATTAAAATTTAAAAAACTTTAACCACAGAGTGAATGTGTTGTTTCCTGGCAGAAAATCTAAGTCCATTTAAAAGTAAAATACGGAAAAAATGGATTTATTTTTTTACAAAATTTCCTTCTAGATACTAGCTTTTGATCATAAACAAGCTTCTGTCCTAGTTTGGTACAAATCCCAAATAGTATAAGAAAGTTATTAAATTTTTTAAAACTTTAACCACAGAGTGAATGTGTTGTTTCCTGGCAGAAAATCTAACTCCATTTAAAAGTAAAATAAGGAAAAAATGGATTAATTTTTTTACAAAATTTCCTTCTAGATACTAGCTTTTGATCATAAACAAGCTTCTGTCCTAGTTTGGTACAAATCCAAAATAGTATAAGAAAGTTATTAATTTTTTTAAAACTTTAACCACAGAATGAATGTGTTGTTTCCTGGTAGAAAATCTAACTCCATTTAAAAGTAAAATAAGGAAAAAATGGATTTTTTTTTTTTACAAAATTTACTTCTTGATACTATCTTATGATCATAAACAAGCTTCTGTCCAAGTTTGGTAGAAACCCAGGATAGTTTAAGAAAGTTATTAAAATTTTAAAAACTTTAACCACAGAGTGAATGTAATATTTCCCGGCAGAAAAACTAAGTCCATTTATAAGTAAAATACGGAAAAAATGGAATTTTATTTTTACAAAATTTACTTCTGGATACTATCTTATAATCATAAACAAGCTTCTGTCCAAGTTTGGTAGAAATCCAGGATAGTTTAAGAAAGTTATTAAAATTTCAAAAACTTTAACCACAGAGTGAATATTTGTGGACGCCGCCGCCGACGACGACGACGCCGACGGAATGTAGGATCGCTATGTCTCGCTTTTTCGACTAAAGTCGAAGGCTCGACAAAAAGTGATATGGGAGGTACATGTTTCTGGTAAAATCATTTCTTGTAATCCTCACCCATTTTCTCAAAATTTTGCCTAAAATGACTGACTTGATTGGTAATAAAATTTGAAAAAAATTATTACTCAAAAACTACTAATTGTAACTACACAATTTTTTCACAGAGTTAAGTTTGATTATAAAATTTTTTAAATTCATTAATATTTTCCACTTGTATCACATGTTTTGGAAATAATTCCAGAACGAGATTTTAACGAGACTGAAACGTCAGAAGAATACATCCTTTAGCCATTTTTTTTTTTAATTTGACAAATAACATCATAAAATTGGCCATTACCCGGTCTGTTTGTGCACACCCTCCCCACCCCACAGTTGACACCCTTAGTCATGCAGATTGTAATTTGCTGAAAAAACGCACTCCCAATGATGAATGCTTGACCTTTCATATAAATAAGAAGTCAATAAAATAAGGAACTAATATAAATAATTCTCTGGTAAAAATGTTATCTCCTATATCTTAACCTCATTGGAGTTACCTCCCATGTTGTTACTTAACCCAACTGAACAAGCGTAATAACTTTTCAGTTATTTATCAACACACACAACATTATGGAAATAAGGATGACATTCACTTCATATCTTAATGATTTTTTCGGTGTCAAAAGCTTTAAGGTAATTCAAATTAACTTAGAACATGATCACGTTTTACAAGGTTAAAGCGTCCTACTGACATCGATATGAAAATAAATAACAGATTTCCACATTTCTGAAAATTATCTTCATCCTGTAACGAAATAGAAGCAAAAAATTGATCCACACCTTTACACAATCCACAGGGTACATAACACTGTGCTCTAGAACTCCAGCGGCAGCGCCGGCCACCATATGATCCACGCTGGTGCTAGTTGGTGGTAAACTTTCATACAGGTCTTGATCGTCCATATCACAGTATGAAAGTCTTTCAGTTTGATATAAGTAATGGTTTTCTAAAATTACATCACTGTCCTAAGGTCACTAACTTCATAAAACATTTGAATAACGCAATAATTCCTAGTGGACTAAAGACAACATGTGGCAGAAAGTAAACATTCAGGTGATGACGTGCAAGCTCGGGAACAATATCGGGACGTCAACGTGATTTCCGCTTCGCGCTTAACTAATGATGTGTTAATTTTATAAGATCTTTCAAAAGAAATTAAAAGCAAAAAAAAGGATTTATAAATTGTATCCGGGAGTACTTTTATCCCGAGAATGTTTTTATTTTATCCGCTTTCGTTAATAGCATAACTTTATTTAAACGGTCTAAATCACAGGCACTTGTCTCTGAAAAAATTACCTATATTCTTTCAAATATGTTATATTAAAGTATATAGGGTTTTTTTTCAGAGACAAGTGCCTGTGGTCTAAATACCTATTTTAATCCAAAGACGTATATGCTATGCATACCTCTGTTTTAATCTGTATAAGGACTTTATCTCTCATATTTTTTCGCCAAACATTTCATTAAAAGTATCTGATCACACAATTTTGACTATATCCTTCTCAGGTAAGGTTTTGTGAAAAAGTTGGGGTAAATTACTTTAATCCCTATTAGAACAACATTTCAAAAGAAGAACTGATTTATCCTCATATGAAATCTATAAAAGACTTCAATGTGAAGCTTTGCAGGTTAATTTTGTAAATTTGTTTTGGGTTATTGGAATAAAGTTCCAATGTTGCTTCTTGACCAGAGCTGGGTAAATTTCCCACACATTTTAATGTTGTCAATGCAATGCTAATATTTTGGCACCGTCTCGAAAATCTAGATAACCATTTTTTTACAATCATGTTGACATTAAATCCATGTCAACAAATACTGAATTTTATGATGACATGTAAAAGAGACGGAATTAAGATACCGAGGGCCCGGGACATTCAAAACTTAAAGGTCAAAGAAACTGAACTGACAACACCATGGCAAAAAAAACAAACAAAAAAAACCGAAAAATGACGAAAAGACGAACAAATCAACAAAACACTGCTTATAGATATAGGAAGATGTGCGGGTATGAGTGCCAATGAGACAACTCTCCATCCAAGTAACAATTTATAAAAGTAAACCATTATAGGTCAAGGTACGGCCTTCAACACGGAGCATTGGCTCACACCGAACAGCAAGCTATAAAACTTAAGATTTAGCAACACAAACCCTACCGAAAAAACTCTTGTGTTCTGGAAAGGTAAGCATATCCTTCTCTACATGCAATTTCAAATCCGCTGATAAGTCTCATTCTGTGATATCACAGTCGAGGAAAAGAGGACAGAATTGTGATAACGACAGTTGGAACATATCTGTGGCCATCTGTGACACAGATATTCCATAACGGTCAACCCACTCATGATGGCGTCCGTATAACTTTCGAAGGGATGACTTCAATTTCACCGCATGAAACCGTTGGTTCAATAGCTTCCTTGTTATCAGTGAATAGAGGAAACGCAAGCTCTGGAATATCGTTTCAATTGGGGGATATATATACTCCATTTGCAGGCGCTACTGGAATGTTGCTACATAGAAATGAAAAGTTCACAATTTGGGAGCTGAAATCGTCCCTCTTGTCTCAAAGTTTTGTTCTCAACGGAATTAAATCCAATATTTCTGGATGTAAGTCAAGACATGAGGCAGACTTATCTGTATCTGAGGTATCCTTTATTTCAAGTTCGATGGGATAGGTGCGTTCAACGTAGTCACCAAAGTTTCAGATTATTAAGTGAGAGGACATCATCTATATATCGGAACGTGAAGTTAAAAATAATGCTAGCTACTTTTCATTCTTCTGTATGAAATCTGTTTCATATGAGTAAAGGAACACGTCACAATAAGGGGGTATAATTTTCTCCCATAGGAATGCAATTAATTGTTGAAAAAACATCCTCAAAACGTCACAAACATATGTTGTCAATAAAAAAACTAACATCATGATGTCATTTTCAGAGAACAATCCGAATGGTTTTTACAACAAATGATCAGATACATATTATAAGTCTCTGATATAATTTAATCCTTCCTTAAACAATATATTTGTATCTACGTTGGCCATTCATTTTATGAAACAAGTTGGACTAGTTCTTTCAATCTGTCTTTACGTTTAGAATGGGGTAAACAAGTGTAAAGGAGTCAAATGTTTTATACTTATGCAAAAGAATAGATACTTAGATTTTATGTACCCTAACAGATCTTTGGAATTTTGAAATATCCACATCTGATTCACACCGCACCTAGAGTAGGTAGTTTCACAGTAACTCTGAACCCAGTTTCGATTGTTGATACAATTGATGTTAATAGTTTGGTTTCGTGGAGCACTTGGCAGATCCATTAATATAACGTTGTTTGTAAGGAAACGTATGTAGTTTTGGTATCCAGTACAACGAAGGCAGATCAAATTCTTCATCTTTGGTTAAAATTTCAAAAGGAACATAGACCAGACCTATGATTGTTCAGGATTTTTTCTTTGGTAAGTGTCGTGGGCTTATATGTTGAGTTTCCAAGTGAATTGTCAATACCTAATTCCGTTATTTTTAATTTTATAAGTCGCAGTAGTAGTATACAAAAATGCGACCAAACTGTGGATAGGGTCATGAATAAGGGACTATGAAGAGGCACCACAAATGTTCGTTACCTTAGTGAAAACATCCTAAGGTTATAGTTGTGAGATAGATTGGTACCAACTGACCTATAGGTTTCAGATAAACAAAATGAAAAAAGTACATACAATGATGGGTGACGGACGTATAGTAATGAGAAATGTTCTTACGGTCCCTTTGGATTGGGTGACCTATTTTTTTTTTTGCGTTGGTAGATTTAAGAAAAAATTTAACATTGACCAATGAACCATGAAATTGAGGTCAATGTCATGTGAACCCTGCCAGACCGACATGTACACCTATAATCATTCCATACACCAAATATATTTGACATATTGCCTATTGATTGATTGATTGGTGTTTAACATATTGCTTATAGTCTCTGATAAACTGACAAAACCATGAAAAATTAACATTGACCAAGGAACTATGAAAATGAGGTCAAAGTCATATGAAATCTGCTAGACAGACATATGCACCCTACAATTATTCCATATACAAAATGTAGTGGCCCTATCGCTTAAAGTATCTAAAAAAGACCAAACCACAAACACTAAGCAATGTCCACTGAACCATGAACATGAGGTCAAAGGCAGATGAAACCTGCCAGTCGGTGATGTACATCTAAGTCATTCCATATACCAATTATAATGGAGCCATGACATATCGCTTATAGTATCTGATATACGGACATTACCACGTATCCTTCACCTTGATCACTGATCCATAAAATGAGGTCGAGGTCAGATGAACTCTACCTGACGGACATGACGACGTTGGAAGGAACCCATACTATCCTATTACTTTTAATAAGTGAGTATTTCACTTTAGAAAAAAACTGTAACCATGAAAATGAGATCAACGACAATGGACATATGATTGACGGAAACTTCGTAACATAAGGTATCTGTTTACAAGGTATGAAGCATTCTGCGACTCTTTTCACAAAAAATCTTACGATTAAAATTGATCGTAAGTTATACTGAAATGTGTATGACTTGCTAGTATTTTTACTCTTAAGATATTTTTGTGAAAAGAGCCGCAGGCCAGTCTTCTACCTCCTGAAATATAAAGTTGTATACTAAAATTTTACGCCGTCGCTGGATTGTAATCCCTATTGGGCTAGCCGATTCTGCGACTTTCGTCTCAGGCGAGACATAAATGACGATTCCTATTTAATTTTTCACGCATTTTATGATCTGAATTTGTAAAAATTGCCGATTAGTTGCAGTATCCAATGATGGTACATTATGATTAAGATGACAATTTGTGGGAACCATTTTCTTATATACCCAAATAGGACAAAAAGTTCAACAGGTGCGAGACGCAACTTCTTAATTGTGTACAAATTATGATTTGCCTAAAACAAATTGTACAAATTATTGATTTGTATTTTGACTTAGTACAAATTATAATTAGTCCAAAAAGTGCTTGTATAAATTACATTATTCACTTATAAAATCGAAAATTAATTATATCCTTTACTGGAACAGTTGCTAAAAGCGAACTAGTAAAACTATGAAAACCCCAATTTCAGGATTATTAAGTTCCTAGTGGTGAAGTTGAAATCATCCCGCAGAAAATTTTACAAAACGTCATCAAGAGTTGGTTGACCGTTATGGAATATTTATCCGTTTCACAGATGACGACGGATACGTTCCAATCGCCGTAACCACAATCCCTACCTCCTTTTCCTTGAATGTGACCTACCAGTACCAAATTAGACATATCACCGGGTTTGTAATTACACGAGCAAAACGATGGGGATCACATATGGAGCAGGATATGCTTACCCTTCCAAAGCACCTGAGATCTACCTGGTTTTTAGTGGATTGATTGTTGGTTGCTTAACATCCAGTGGCAAATATTTCATGCATGTTCAGTGGAATTCGTGTTGCTCAATCTTTAGTTTCTATGTTGTGTTTTGTATACAGTTTTTTTGTCTTTTTCTATTTTTGCCATGTCATTGTCCGTTTATTTTTTGAAATAAAAAAAAAATGTCCAGTAGTCTTTAAAGGTTAAGGACACGTCTCCATGTCACGAAAACTGTCAGGAATAATCAAACTTGACACTGTATCCTACGGTTCCTATTTATTTTGATATTTCCAAAAAAATATCTAGGCTGTTATGACCTCATTATACTGTTATAATATCCTATATTGCTCATATTTTATTTTTATTTCTATGTGGTTGTATGTTTTCACTAAAAACTCACATTTTATTATAATAAAATGTATTATGATGTTTTTGTATCTTGCCTGACAAGGACCCATGATTGGTAAATAAAAATGTCTAATGTCTAATGCTATGTACAGTAGACTATATTTTACATTTGGAAACAATAACATTTTATGGACTTTCCAGCTTCTAATGGATATGTATGTAAATCCTGAAAAATGTCACCCAGTACTGTAAAGGGGTTCCAAGAAGCTGTCAACACATACCACACAAGACAAGTCAGTAACAATAGAAAATACAGCAAGTGTCAAGCTTTCTGTGGTAATGATTCTCATCATTATAAAATATCATTGTTGTAAATGTTATCATTTTGACTCATGGTTGGTCTTGTTGTCACATTGATGTATAATGGTCTATAATCCACATCACCTTTTATCATATGTATAATAGCTAAATGAATTAGAATTTATGGTCATTAATCAATCTACAATTTATTGATTTATCTAGATTGGATGCTTGATTTCCAGAATTTTTGTTTTTTTTTTATATTTTGTAACATCAATCCGTCTATAAAAGGAATAGAGTGTGTACATTTCCATTAACTACGAATGTATAACTTTATTACTGACATTGTGCAGCTTTCTTTCTTTGTGAGAAAATATTAAGTTTCTACCGTCAACTAATTCCTTTCATATTTCAACTGAAATTTTAGTTTTAAAGAATATAGTGACAGAATAATGCGACTGAATGGGTTTCCATGTACATTTCGACACCTACTCTGGTGGCGATTTTGAATTTCTAGTAAGCACATAAGTAACAAGACTTCTTAAGGATGTTCAAAGAAATACATCTGTTAAGTTTGGTTCAACTTGTTTAACAGTTGTATAGATGATGAAATTTCAAACCAGCAAACTTTGATAATTACTTATGTCAATGTTTCAAACCAGCAAGATTTGATAAATACTTATGTCAATGTTTCAAACCAGCAAGATTTGATAAATACTTATGTCAATGTTTCAAACCAGCAAGATTTGATAAATACTTATGTCAATGTTTCAAACCAGCAAGATTTGATAAATACTTATGTCAATGTTTCAAACCAGGCAGCAAAATTTGATAAATATTGAAGTCAATGTTTGTTTTTTTACTGTTCACCTTACTATAATTAACAAATACTTATTTAGTGTAAGTAATCTATGATGGTGATTATGGAGGACATATTCAGTGGCAAATGAAATGCATTAAATGCATATGCAGGATAAGAACATGTTAATTTGATATGAATATAAACCCTGCTTGGTACTAGACCGATACCCTGAGCAAGATTTTCAACATGCTAGTTCACGGGGTAACACTCCACAGGTAGACATGTCACCCTACCTGGATACATTACTCACAATCCAAGCAAACCAATTTTTGCTCTTACTGCTAAATGCAGAGTGCTTAGCAGAAAAGCAGCAAATACCGATTTTCATATTTTGGTTTGACCTGACTGAGGATTGAAACCAATGACCTCCTGCACTCCAGGCTAGCAAGCTAGCAGGAGACCACCAAGGTGCTTATATCTATGTATTTCCATTACATGTGAAGTAATTCACTTCTAGATCTGCAAGTTTTTGTTGATGCTGCAAAAAACTCAATACAAATTGAAATATTTTTTTAAGTTCAAATCCAACCCAATCATTATATGGATTAAGATCAAAATAATAACCCCCCCCCCCCCCCCCCTTTTTTTTCAGAAATTGCATTGACGTCTTTTTTTTTTATTCTCACCAAATAATAATTTCCTTCTGCATAATCTTTATAAATATAAATGAAACATTCTTAGAAAAATAATATTGGTGTTCAGTTTTTTAAAACTCTTTCCAAAAAATTACTGAAAATCTATCAAATATAAAGTGTTGTGTTTTCCTTCAAAGTTGTTAAAAAATACATGAATAGGTTGAAAATATGACTGCATTTTACAAATAAATCTACTTTTCTATACGCTAAAAACTTTACCATCTGGTGTTGTAACAAACTATCAAATCATGTGAAAAATTGTAAAGATTTTAAGGCATGTGCCAAACATTTAAACATGGTTAACAATATGTAAATTATTGATAAATTATCATGATTATTCGAATTAGATGTGTTAAACAGTCAAATGTACTGTAAATATAAGAATTGAATACATATTTCATATTAGTTTTAAGAAATAAGAAAGCAAATGTCAAAGAACATTTTCATGCAGTAAAAATACTTTATGCTAAATGTGCCCTGTGGTTGTCTAAATGTTTGAATTGTTTTTGCATACTCCAGTGTGATTGTTGGGCTAAATTATGACAATAAGTTTTGTTTCTTTGCCAGATTTATTTTAGTGATATTATTCCATGGTTTTGTTCTTTAAAGGAGCATTAGCTACGAGTTAGACAAAAATCTATATACAATTCTTTTTGTTTGAAGTATTTATAGAAGCGGAATTTTGAAATAATATTTTGTTTATCACAGTTAGTTTGGCCAAAATTTGTCAAAATAGGTTCAAAAACATCGCTGATGCATTATAGACTTGCAAGTGAATAATTTGACCTCATGATAATTCCGTATTCATGTGAACTTCAATTCAACCCCTTAGCTGGAGATGGGTTACACATGAAATAGGCATGTTCAGCTACTAAAAGGAAAAGAATGTCAACATTGAAAGTGAAACAAGGGTAAACTATTTTGTTGACTGATTTGATCTAAAAACAATAACATTTATACAGATAATAAACTGTTAACACAGAGATATGTCTCGCATTTTTGTTATTTTGATAATGCAAATAGTGAAATTAAAATAGCAATGCTTAAACATGCAAGTTATGCAAATATTCAAAATCAATGAACCATGACTGAAGGTCCAGGGCTACAGGCAATCTCCAAGGAAATGAGATGTGCCAGTGCTAATACAACTGCATACCAAATATCACTGACTTGTCATAAGTCTTTCCCTTTAAACAAACCTAAACACAAACATTAACTTGTAAACTATGTAAAAGTTTCAAAGTCAATGAACCATGATGAGGGGATGGGGCTATATAATCTCCATGGAAATGAGACTTGCAAATGCCAATACATTTGCATAACCAAATATCATTGACTTAACATTAGTGATGCATCTTAAACTGATATAATCACAAACTAACACATGTAAATAAGCAAAAGTTTCAAAGTCAATAGACCATGACTGAGGGGTAAAGACCAAGTATTCTCCATGGAAATGAGATGTGCTAATGCTTATACAACTGCATACCAATTATCATTGACCTACCACTAATGGTTCCCCTATAACTGACCTAATCACAAACTAATACATGTAAACTAAGCAAATGTTTCAAAGTCAATAGACCATGACTGAAAACTAACATGTAAATTAATCCCGCCACATTCTGTATGACACTGCCCAAGTCAGGAGCCTGTAATTCAGTGGTTGTCGTGTGTTGCTGTGTAACATATTTGTTTTTCCTTCATTATTTTGTACATAAATTACGCTGTTAGTTTTCTTGGTTGAATTGTTTTACATTTGTCATTTCGGGGCCTTTTATAGCTGACTATACAGTATGCGCTTTTGCTCATTGTTAAAGGCCATGCAGTGACCTATAGTTGTAAATTTCTGTGTCATTTGGTCTCTTGTGGAGAGTTGTCTCATTGGCAATCATACCATATCTTCTTTTTTATATATGCAAAAGTTTCAAAATCAATAGACCATGACTGAAGGGGTGGGGCCAAATAATCTCCATGGAAATGAGATGTACCAATACTAATACAACTGTATAACATATATCATTTACCTACCACTAGTGGCTCACCATAAATTTAAACTAGACCTTATCACAAACTAATACATTGTTGACGCCGCAACCCCCAGCAACAGCATACTTATGTCTCCTTTTTTGACTCCGTCAAGGCGAGACAAAAACGGTGATTAACATATTGTTTTAACCTATAACATAAAATCAAAAAGACCTAGAAAAATCCAATTGCACGTGGTCGCTATCCAACTATTTTTATATTTATGTTTATATGGAACATTCTTAGAAAAATAATATTGGTGTTCCAATATTTTTTAAAACTCTTTCCATGAAATGATTGAAACTCTATTAAATATAAAATTTTGTGTTTTCCATAAATTTTGTTAAAAATACAGGGGTTATATGTCTGTCGGCAGTCTTTGGAGGTCATTTCCATGGTTAATTAGATGTGCCTAGACTAAAATACACACGAAAAGCTGATGAGTCTTATGCATTGTTAATTATTTATTTTAGACTTTTTGTAATTTGGTTATTAGTTTTAGTATGTTATACATCAAATATAAGAATTTGAGTCAAATCGGTGAACATGAATTTGACAGCTATTGCCCCTTTAATTCACAGTTGTGGGATGATGGTCAGTTTGTATAGTTTCAGCTCAAACAAGTGCTTGGGGCTGTCTTAAACTTCCAGTGAGTTAGGAGTATTTGCTCCATATTGACGGCATCACTTTGACTTTGAGATGAAGAACAGCAATAAAAGTGTTTTTTCTTTGCTTTTAGTGGTTTCTGCTGTGCATGTATTGATTTTGTGTCATGGATGGAAACCCCATGTTCGTTTTTTTCTAATACATCATTTGTATTGTTATGTCATAAAACTTACAACATAAGTATTCAGTTCATAAATAGTTTTCAAATCGAACAATTTAATTTTTACTTTTATGCTTATGTTTTCATGCATTTCTTTCCAATATCTTTTAAATTATTCAAATTTATTTTTCAAAGATTTTTATTGTGTTGTGTTTTTTTAATATATACTTATATTTGTTAGGGCCCCGCGTAGTGGCGGGTTGCCCTATAGTGATCAGTCTGTCCGTCCGTCCCAAATTGTGTCCGCTCTATATCTAGAGAACCGTTATAATTTCTTACTTTATACTTGACATGTATATTAACCAACACCAGAGGTTGTATCATAATGTTTGTACAACTTCCTAGGTCAAAGTTCAAGGTCAGCGGGGCCCACAGAGATGGTTCCCATCTCAATGATCAATGATGTCTAGTTATTTCTATTATTTCCCATTGGTTTTAAGGAGAGGCATGTTGAACAAAAATACAAAAAAACTGTACATTTAAGTTTTTTACTTTTTAAAATACTCTTATGCAAGTATCCAGAAACAAAAAAAGAAGGTACAGAAAAACACTTGCACACACAAGACAATACATAAATCAAAATACTTAACACAGCTTAATTCCATATGAAGAAGAAAAAAATATTATAACCACATACCTTCATTCATACAAACAGAATGTTACAAAAATCTGTCAAAATCTTCATCTAAATTGTTTAAAACAGAAAGTCATCATATATATTTTCTTTAAATTGTGGTGTTTTTGGTTTTTTGACCAACAACCATGTTGCAATTAATTCAACATAAAAACATGACTGGATGTTGGTTGCATTAAAAAATTTACAGAAGTTTTTTATGATTATTTATGATTTTTTATGGCTCGATCTTATCCAGTCTGACATTTAAGTTAACATTTAATCCCACTATGTGTACTCCAACATAAGTTAAGACAATATATATAAAGTGCTATAAACTTAAACAGAAATACCTGCTATATACTCAGCAGAAATGGAAAAAAAATTAGTGCACCAGACCAGCAATTTTATAATAAAGCGTTAAATTAACTAGTATATACTTATAAAATAAATACAATCTCTATTTACATTAAAAAATCTGTAGGCATAAAGCACTATTTATTTTCAACCCATCTCACATAAACTTAATGTCTTTTAAACCATGAAGTTCAGATATGATGAATAGCAAATTTTTTGTAATTGTAATAAATCAATTTCTTTCTTTTAAATATAATTGGACTAGACTAATCAACAACAATACTTCAATATCATATTAAATCATTATTTTCCTTGCGAAAAAATGAACAAGATGTAAAATGTGAGATTTACATTAATATAACATTTTTAAAAATATGAATGAATATTCTATTCTTGTTATCCTTTTGTGACAAATATGAAAAGGTTTGTAGAAATTTCAATACATCTTATTTGACGATCCATAGTTTAATGAGTTGGGTAATCAGAAAATACTGTAACCAACCTAAATACAAATTATTTATTCTAAGTACATCCTAAATCTTATTCCATTCAATCATTTCTAAAAGAGAACTTACAGAAGTAAGATGAGAGAGATCAGCAAATCTTGAGAATGGAAAATCTTTGATACAATAAAAGAATTGAAAGCACCAATGATTTATTTTGAAAGATTCCAATGTTTTATAATACATTTGCTACACAAAATCATCAGAGAATAATAGTACATTCTTTGTGGCACCTCTATAATTTTAGTACTTTTTGTATGTGGCATCTGCAGAAGTTAACATATTCCGTTAATAAAAGTTAAACTAGGTGATATATAAAAAATATGCCAAACACTTCAGAGAACAAGTATTATTAAGACCTCAGCAAAATAACAAACTGTTATATCAATCAAAACTAAATTTAATTTTAGATCATCCCCCAAATAGACAAAAGAATTGTAAGTTTTAAATTAAAAAAAAAATAAAAATTGACAGGTAGAATCATAAAATATTGTTTTATACATTTGACGGTTATTTTGACCTATTTCCTTTTTCATTATTCCCTTTTTATATCTTCCTTATTCACTATAACCTTGACAAGGATGTATATTTTACAACATACAAGTCTGCAACACACAAATCCTGAAGTAACTATTATGAGTTTCATTCACAAAAATATAAAGTTAAAGCTCCCATTCTCCAACACACACCCACACATTTCTTTCACACAAGAACATAAAAAAATTAAATGTCGGGAACACATGATAATGTATTTCATGATGAGTTATTTAAAACATACCCTAAACTGTTTGTAAAATTACTAATAAATTTACTGATTTTTTTTCTTTCAAAATTATATAAATATTTCAATTTTTGTCCTTTTAATAGGTTATTTGACAAAAAAATCCCTGCTCAATAATACTTTCTTTTAAAAATCAATGGATTTCTATATGAAAAGTCATAATTTTTTTCTAATCTGTTTCCTAAAAACTTGATCCCCCCAAAACTCAGCTTTTCTGATTTTTATCTATATTTGTTAAACTTATCATCTAAAATATTTTGTATTATACAAGTTTTTTAGCTTCAAAAAAGCTCTTTAGATGTTTCATCTGCCAAAATCCTGTAACCAGTAAAATAAGAGTCTGAGCTATTGACCACCATAATACTCTTTGGTTAGTACTTTCACTTGTCTGTCTAAATCTCTCTTCTCGGTACTGAAAAATACAAGATCAGAAAATTATGGACATTTTAGTTATTCAAATATTGTACATTTTTGTGTAGGGGCCAGCTGAAGCCCGCCACCAGGTGCGGGGTACAAATGACAATTCAATTTATACTTCACTGTAAATGAGACATAACAGACAAGTTGCATATACCAGCCATTGTTGTTGTAATAGCATTAAAGTGTGAAAGAAAATTAAAGTATTTTAAATGGAACACAAGAAATAAAATGTTATTTGAAAATAAACCAAAGTGTGTACACTTAATACATAGTGTATGAACAGTTCTGTAATTAAATGTGAATCAGAAAATCCTACTGCAGATTATGAGGATGAATTCAGGCAGGATGATTATGGATTAGAAATAATGGTCATAGGGCTTTAAAAGTAAATTGAAATAACTTATTTGTTTAACAATGGCCCTGTTGCACTAAATTATTATTTACATTTTGGCAAAATTGAAGCCTTCTATGCTTTGAAAATTCTCACAATAATACTGAATAATACAAAATGCATTCTCTCCTCAGGGCAAATATAATAAAATGCTCCACAGGGCGCAGCTTGATACGAGGTCAAACCCTGAACAGTTGGGGCAAGTATGGACACAACATTCAAGCTTGATACAGCTCTGAATTTGGATTGTGATTAAATATTTGACACAGCATAGGTTTCTGACAAAGAATGAATGTGGTCTAAGAACTTAAAAATTTTAAATTGGACATTCACCTATTATGGTCCAATATCCAAAATCTAAATACATGGTTAGATTCAGCATATCAAAGAACCCCAAGAATTCAATTTTTGATGAAATCAAACAAAGTTTAATTTTGGACCCTTTTGACCTCAATGTGGACAAAGTTGATAATGGGGCCCAAAAATCAAAAATCTAAATACATGGTTGGATTCAGCATATCAAAGAACCCCATATATTCAATTTTTGTTGAAATCAAACAAAGTTTAATTTTGGACCCCGATTTGGACCAATTTGAAAACTGGGCCCATAATCAAAAATCTAAATACATGTTTAGATTCAGCATATCAAAGAACCCTAAGAATTCAATTTTTGTTAAAATCAAAATAAGTTTAATTTTGGACCCTTTGGACCTTAATGTAGACCAATTTGTAAGCGGAACCAAAAATTAAGAATCTAAATACACGGTTAGATTCGGCATATCAAAGACCCCCAATAATTCAATTTTTGATGAAATCAAACAAAGTTTAATTTTGGACCCTTTGGACCTCAATGTGGACCAATTTAAAAACGGGGCCCAAAATCCAAAAACTTAATACAAGGTTAGAATCAGCATATCAAAGAACCCCAAGAATTCAAGAATAATTTACCCCGTTGAAATTGGTCAAGAAATAAGCAATTTTTACGAAGTATCTTCTTTTGCACAATACTGTGCAATTGAATATTTCTTGCTATTGCGCAATACTGTACAATTGACAATTTCTTGCTATTGCGCAATATTGTGCTATTGGATATTTCTTGCTATTGCACAATACTGTGCAATAAAAGATTTCTTGCTATTGCGCAATACTGTGCAATAGAAGATTTCTTGCTATTGTGCAATACTGTGCAATTGAAAATTTCTTGCTATTGCACAATACTAATTATATAATAATTTACACATCCTGTTTGGTGTGTATCTCCTACCATATCATTATTATTTGCTTTTAAATATAAAACAGAAATAACCAACTTAAAATGGAAATTTTTAAAAGAAAAAAAAAAAAGAAAAAAAGAAAAAAAAGGAAAAAAAAAAAAAAATCCCCCCCCAATTTTTTGAACCCCCTTATGATTCATCACCCCCAAACTCAATCCCAGCCTTCCCTTTGTGGTATGGTTCCTTGCAGTACAATTTCAGAGAGATCCATACACTTGAACACAAGTTATTGACTGGAAAAGAGAAAAATGCTTATTTTTGGCCCCTTTTTGGCCCCTTCTTCCTAAACGTTTTGGGCAATTACCCCCAAACTCAATTCCAGCTTTCCCTTTGTGATATGGAACCTTGTAGTGCAATTTCAGAAAGATCCATACACTTACACACAAGTTATTATCATGAAACTAGAAAAATGCTTGTTTTTTGCCCCTTTTTTGGCCCCTAATTCCTAATATTTTGAGGTAATTACCCCCAAAATCAATCCCAGCATTCCCTGTGTGATATGGAACCTTGTGGTACAATTTCAGAGAGATCCATACACTAACACACAAGTTATGTCTGAAAGTTACAAAAATGCTTATTTTTGGCCCCTTTTTGGCCACTTATTCCTAAACGTTTTGGGCAATTACCCCCAAACTCAATTCCAGCTTTCCCTTTGTGATATGGAACCTTGTAGTACAATTTCAAAAAGATCCATACACTTACACACAAGTTATTGTCATGAAACTAGAAAAATGCTTGTTTTTTGCCCCTTTTTTTGCCCTTATTCCTAATATTTTGAGGCAATTACCCCCAAAATCAATCCCAGCATTCCCTGTGTGAAATGGAACCTTGTGGTACAATGTCAGAGAGATCCATACACTAACACACAAGTTATGTCTGGAAGTCACAAAAATGCTTATTTTTGGCCCCTTTTTGGCCCCTAATTCCTTAACTATTGGTACCATAACCCCCAAAATCAATCCCAACCTTCCTTTTGTGGTATTGAACCTTATGGTAAAATTTCATAGAGATACATTCACTTAAACTAAAGTTAGAGTGCGAAAACCAATGTGTCTTCGGACGACGACAACAACGATGACGACGACGACGCCAACGTCATACCAATATACGACCGCACAAATTTTTTGCGGTCGTATAAAAAAAAAAGAAATGAGACCAACAAAAAAACATAAGTTGAAAATTGAATGAACAAGTGAAACTGCGAGCTACTGCTCACTGATGATACCCCTGCCCAAATATTTTGGTAAACAGGAAGTTGTTGAGTGATGCATCTGAAAACTCATCACACGATATAGCTCAGACTTATATAAACCCTGAAACCAAATTTGAAAAATCCTTATAATGTAGTTCCTGAGAAAGGAGCAACAAAAATATTCATGGGACAGATGGATGGACTGACGGATCGGATGGACTGACGGATGGATGGATGGATGGACAGATGGACGGACAGACAGAGGTAAAACAGTATACCCCTACTTTTTTTTAAGTGGGATATAATAAAAAACAACAGTATGGCCAAAAACAAAAGACAAAAAGAATAAAATGCTCCGCAGGGCGCAGCTTGATACAACCGCAGAGGTCGAACCCTGAACAGTTGGGGCAAGTATGGACACAACATTCAAGCTTGATACAGCTCTGAATTTGGATTGTGATTAAATATTTGACACAGCATAGGTTTCTGACACAGAATGAATGTGGTCTAAGAACTTAAAAATTTTAAATTGGACATTCACCTATTATGGTCCAATATCCAAAATCTAAATACATGGTTAGATTCAGCATATCAAAGAACCCCAAGAATTCAATTTTTGATGAAATCAAACAAAGTTTAATTTTGGACCCTTTTGACTTCAATGTGGACAAAGTTGATAATGGGGCCCAAAAATCAAAAATCTAAATACATGGTTAGATTCAGCATATCAAAGAACCCCATATATTCAATTTTTGTTGAAATCAAACAAAGTTTAATTTTGGACCCCAATTTGGACCAACTTGAAAACTGGGCCAAAAATCTAAAATCTAAATACATGTTTAGATTCAGCATATCAAAGAACCTTAAGAATTCAATTTTTGTTGAAATCAAAATAAGTTTAATTTTGGACCCTTTGGACCTTAATGTAGACCAATTTGTAAGCGGAACCAAAAATTAAGAATCTAAATACACGGTTAGATTCGGCATATCAAAGAACCCCAATAATTCAATTTTTGATGAAATCAAACAAAGTTAAATTTTGGACCCTTTGGACCTCAATGTGGACCAATTTAAAAACGGGGCCCAAAATCCAAAAACTTAAAATACACGGTTAGATTCAGCATATTAAAGAACCCCAAGGATTCAAGAATAAAACCCCATTGAAATTGATCAAGAAATAAGCAATTTATACGAAGTATCTTCTTTTGCACAATACTGTGCAATTGAATATTTCTTGCTATTGCGCAATACTGTACAATTGACAATTTCTTGCTATTGCGCAATATTGTGCTATTGGATATTTCTTGCTATTGCGCAATACTGTGCAATTGAAGATTTCTTGCTATTGCGCAATACTGTGCAATTGAAGATTTCTTGCTATTGTGCAATACTGTGCAATTGAAAATTTCTTGCTATTGCACAATACTAGTTATATAATAATTTACACATCCTGTTTGGTGTGTATCTCCTACCATATCATTATTATTTGCTTTTAAATATTAATCAGAAATAACCAACTTAAAATGGAAAATTTTAAAAGAAAAAAAAAAAGGAAAAAAAGAAAAAAAAAGTAAAAAAAAATCCCCCCCCCAAATTTTTTGAACCCCCTTATGATTCATCACCCCCAAACTCAATCCCAGCCTTCCCTTTGTGGTATGGTACCTTGCAGTACAATTTCAGAGAGATCCATACACTTGAACACAAGTTATTGTCTGGAAACTAGAAAAATGCTTATTTTTGGCCCCTTTTTGGCCCCCAATTCCTAAACGTTTCGGGCAATTACCCCCAAACTCAATTCCAGCTTTCCCTTTGTGATATGGAACCTTGTAGTACAATTTCAGAAATATCCAAACACTTACACACAAGTTATTGTCATGAAACTAGAAAAATGCTTGTTTTTTGCCCCTTTTTTGGCCCCTAATTCCTAAAATTTTGAGGCAATTACCCCCAAAATCAATTACAGCCTTTCCTTTGTGATATGGAACCTTGTGGTACAATGTCAGAGAGATCCATACACTTACACACAAGTTATTGTCTGGAAGTTACAAAAATGCTTATTTTTGGCCCCTAATTCCTTAACTGTTGGTACCATAACCCCCAAAATCAATCCCAACCTTCCTTTCGTGGTATTGAACCTTATGGTAAAATTTCATGGAGATCCATTCACTTAAACTAAAGTTAGAGTGCGAAAACCAATGTGTCTTCGGACGACGACAACGCCAACGTCATACCAATATACGACCAAAAATTTTTTAATTTTTGCGGTCGTATAAAAATTGGGACCTCATACAATGTTAATAAAACACCAAATATCGAATTTCTATATTGAACAGTGCGGATACGACATGTTTTCTCAATATGTTTTGAAAAATTGTTCTTATGTAAAATACAGGGAAATTTATAGTTCAGTACTCACTTATGACCACCAAGAACTGTGTTTTTATTAGCTGAAATTATGACAATAAACACAAAATAAACTTACCCTCTGGTAATTCTGTTCTTTGGTAATTTGTTCTACTTGGTCTAACAATTGTCTGATACGTAGCTGTAATTCTGACAGTTTGTCTTTAGCTTGTATCTGGGCATAGTCTACTGCATGTTCTCCAACTTGGATGTCTAAATGTACTCTCTACAACAGAAAAAAATTATCATTTTAAACATAATGAATGAATAATATTTTTGTATTGGGTCATTGCTAATGATTGCTCGTTCATTTCAGTACATGAACGTTCTCCATGTATTATAGGATTTATATTGCTATTCTAAGCCCATGACTACTTTGTAAATTTCTGAAATATTGCAAAAAGAATTATGAAAATTCAAACATTTTTAAGAAAAATTTGTTCCCTCTCTAAACATTAAAAAATGTCAATGACATATTCACACTGATCTTAACATCTTTTTTTAATAATCATGTCATTAAAATCAAACTTGTTGTTTAATTCATGTACGTGGTGTTTAATTATTCTGAATTTATTTCATTGTAATTTGGAGCCTATTTTGAAGAGTCTAAAAATGGATCCAAGATTTTATTCAAATGAGATTTAATCAAAAACATTGTCAAATACTCGCTGTAGTAAACTCTTACTTTTCCAGATATATAGATATGAGTTATTAAAAGATTCCCCCTTCAAATTTCAAATTTCCCAATTAAAATTTGATGTTTTGAATTTTATGGCAGAGTGAACAATCATCTCTTTCATGAAATTACTTACCAACTGACCACTAGCAAACCATGCTGACGAATTTGAGTGTAAACAGATGATATGTTCACCAGCAGTATGAGAAGTAAATGTAAATCGTCCCTCTGCTGCATAGGTCTACAAAAAAACATAATACTAATAAAAAAAAATTGAAAAATAACTTGCCTTTTGATTTATTTCAAGTGATTTTTTTCTCCATAAAAACAATACCACAAACAGCAACCATAAATTCATATATACTGCAGTAGCAGGTAATAAATTCAAATTCAACCAATCATTAAGCTATTTTGTGTCTTGTCTATATATTTACAAGTAGGTACAATCCATTCAAATTAATCACTTCCCTCCCTAGCTCTCAGAAAGTACATTTTTTTCTAGCCAAAATAGCAAGAATAGGTTTTTAATAAGTTGATCTATTTTTGGAACCAAATGATCAGACAGTTTTTCAACTTTTAATCAAACATTAAATGTTGCAATGACACTTATTTTTTTGCTGTTTTTTTTTTTAACAAATAATGCCAAATAAATGCTAAATGTTTGAAATTTGCAAAAAAATATAAACTATGAAATGTACACATCTGTGTAATTTGTTCATGAAGATATTAGTCAATCTGAAAAATAATACTGTTAAATGTATCAACAAAAGTTTCATATCTTATACTCATTTTAGCAGTTGCAATCTTGATATAGTTTAAGCTAAATGTAAACAAACCCTTTGAACCAAATATTATAATTAGGTCACAACAACTTAATTTGTCTTTCTTTAAAAGTTCCTTGCAGCGTTGTTCTACACTTTTTCTAATTTATAAAGTACAATTCCTGCTTTACATTACAATACCTTGCCTTTCATAATAAAGTTTTGAAGAAAAAAAATCACAAGTACTTCATTTTTACAAATTATTAATAAAATGTAATTGGTATGGCCAAAATATATATATAAAACAATAAATTATAATATCTGGTTCATGCATATATATATGTTATTATGCAATAAAAAACTGTCTTCATGCATACAAACTTTTCTCATTTGGTACTAGACTAACTACTAGTCATCATACAATGAAATAAAATACATTCTTCCATAATATCTTTCCAATCATAAACTAAACATGATAAAGGCTTCAATGAGCCTGTATTGCTCACACAGCAATTTCCTAACAATCAATGCAACAAGAATATATGTGCTAAATGGAATATGTGTGGGACAAAGTCTGGTCTTCCTAATCATTCTTGCTGGACAGAAAGAATTTGTCTATCCATTATAGTTTTCAAGATAATCATCACAAATGGTACAAATATTGTGATGATTTAATGCCAAAAACAAATTTTCATGACCAAAAAGGGGGAAAACTCACACCTGAATCCATCACTAATTTTGGCTTATTTCATTTTACTTGTTGATCTTATTTTGTTGTTAACAGTTTCTCTCTATCTACCACAATTTTTTTTAGCAGTAATTGCTACAAATTGTCATTGAAGACCAATAACTCATATAAAGAGTTGACCAATTAGTTTGATTTGCATCTGTGGCCAAAGTAGTCTAAGTAATGCATTTACTGTATCACTAGCCTGTCAACACTGAGGTTGTGACTTCCAACCCCACACATGGCAGGTGTGTTCAACTCCAGTCTTAATTCATTAGGATTGTTAGTTTCATGCCAAAGGTATGTGGTTCTCTCCAGGCACTCTGGCTTCATCTATCAATAAAAACTGACCGCCACAAAATAGCCAATGTGTTGAATGTGATGTTAAACACCAAATATCAATCAATCAACCAATTAGTTTTGCCATTTTGGACTTATTTGTACCAGTACATCTTGTATAGCTGATTATTTTGCTGCTTAATGTTTTTATTTCTCTACATTGTATTTATATATATATAGTGTTCAAGCTTTATGATTATAATCAAAAACACAAAAAATGGGATCCTTAATTAAACACTTGTGTCAACCTGGTTAAATTCCCTTTGGATGTTCACACAATATTGTTGATGTAGTTAAACTGAAGTGTAATGGCAATGATTAAAGAGCCGAAAATGTGGGTTTTCCAGCAATATACATACCTACATGTAGGCAAGTTATCATTTAACTGATATACAATAAATAAGTGGGAAAATAAAAACCTTGTAAGGGCTATACATTAACTAATGCATCAAATGAAAGTGAATATCTAAAAACTAATAAAATGCTCATACTAATGCGAAGAAGTGAAAATGTCCAGTTCCAAACAAAGGAAGATAATGCCAATCAACCATGTCCTAGAATGTCAGTTACAAAGCAATTTTCTGTGCGAGCAGTTTTATACACTACTGAAAACATCAACACTATTAATATTAGTGTACCAAATTATTAGGAAAAGATGTAGTTAATCCAGTATTAAATTAAAATTTGCATATATTTGAATGAAATTTCCCTTCAAATCGTTTCATCCATGAATAATTGAAATCAAAACAGTAAATGGATTTCTTTTTCTGATAAAAAAAAAAACTTACAACTATATTCTATTTATGCTAAATCCTGCTTAAGTTTTTCAGATAACAAATAAAAAGCCCCACTATCATTTACAATATCCAATCTTGATGTTTTCTTTAAAAAAAACACACAGAAACACCTGACTACTAGGACAATTGACTCACCCTGGACAGAACAATGTTTTCGTCAGGGTCTTTGACCTCCACTAACATACCAAACCCTGGTGCTGAGGGATGATATTCCTTCACAGAAAAATCATACACTTGAACTTTGTACTTTCCTGTAATCAGTAATTGTAACACAATGCAACGTGCAACAAGAAGCTTAAAATTAACACAACTGTATCATCTTACATACTGTAAATTCAGATATTATTACAATGCTTTAATTAATGCAGAATTGCAACTGTATCAGTGGGATGTTCATTCCAATAACAATTTTTTTTCTAATGTTTTTATCTTACATTTTATATTTTGGACTTTGAACAGACTTGCAATAATAAACTCATGCATTAATTTCTGAATTTACAGTAACTGACAACTTAGTTTTTATTTAAATATACAATACTGCTTTTTATGCAGTATTAAAGCAGTGATTCAAAAGATTTATGATTTTATCGATCATACATTTGCATGTCCGACAACCTTAAGAATATCTGATGAGTGATCAGATTTTATTGTCAGTTTAGAGGCTTTTTATTTTTCTTAATCTTTCTCCAGAGACAAATAAACTTAGTTGCCAGTTTGATGATACCAATATATAGTAACAGGACACTTTCTACACTTCTTCACCTTATTCGCCGCCTACTAAAGTCCTTGACATACTAATCATTTAAGGTGAATCCATGAAGAAAATGTCCTCGTGCATGGAATTATTTGACAGTTTGGCTTACCCGTGATAAAACCACTTTATCATCTGGATCTTGTATCTCTACATGCATGCCCCATCCAGGCACAGATGGGACATAGTTATTAGTATTCTTGTCAAAAACTTCCACTTTATAATGACCTGTAATTCATACTATATAATAATAAGAAAGCCACATACATTTTTTGTATATTGACAAATAATTATACAATACTGTAACAGACCAGCACAGAAAGTTTGTCACTAAGGATTTAGTTCCATGTGAAGATTAAAGGAATTCCTGTTGTCCATTCTTGATAGACATGTGTAACCATGGTAAAATAAGGCTAAATTTTGTGTACCTCAAAAGAGCATTTGTGTCTATAACTTTTGGACAATCAGATGAACATTTTTTCTAAATTACTCACTGTACATTTATTTTTTTCTATGCATTTATTATTGGGATTGTTGAATAATAAACACAATTATGATGATTTCACAAAATTGTGCATACATGTAGTATATGATGAACATTTTACATATAATGCTATCAAAATTTAAAATGTGAGTTTTTAGTTTTTTTTAAACTATATCCTGTTGGATTAATAGCCAAAAATTTCCAAATCTTCAGCAGTAAAATAAAATTCAGTGTCTCAACACACTCATTTTTTATCTTCTCTAAATTCAGGCCTATGCAGGACATTAAGTCAATCAAAAGATTTTACAATTGGCATTTGGATATATATATTGTTGCTGTCTGTCATATTTGTCATTTATTTTAAACAGTCTTCACCCTCAACCACAGGCCCACCAGCCCAGGCTTGTAAAAATGATATCGGGCCTGTAAAAATCATCTCTACAAGCCAATAGAATCTTACTAGTAAAATTTTCATAAAATTCAGCTTCGGGCCTGTACATTCCAAAGTTTATCATGAAGACATATTAGTTTATAGTTTTGTATTTTTTCCACTTTTGAACTGTTTCATATTTTGTCATGTCATGACCTTTTATAGCTGACTATAATATGGAATGGGTTTTGCTCATTGAATGGAGGGTGTTCACTGGCCTCTAGTTGCTTACATCACTCAAGACTTTGGTACATGTACATGTAGATGGCTGTCTTATTGGCAATCATACTACACCTTATTATTAAGTCTGTTTGACTTGGAGTCAAAATAATGTGCAGGAGTAGGGACTAGGGTAATAATGTTTTTTCTCCAATCTATATTTAAAGCTAGCATGTTTAAATCAGCCTCCAGTGTGTAAGACCCCATTCACACTTGGACATTTAGATCGATTTAAACTAGATTGGTTCACTTTAGATCGATTTAAGCCCAAAGTGAATGCTTTGAATCGATCTTGAATCGGTCTAAACTAAAACACCAAAAGAGGTTGTTTAGTTTGAATCGATCTAAAGTGAACCAATCTTACTTTAAATGTGAATGCAGAGATCGATCTAAACTAGTACGATTGAATCGAAAATAATTTGTGCGCATGTATGACAGCAAAATTACACACGCAATATATTACAAAATGGATCACCAACCAGGGCTTCCAAAATTTTTTTTTTAGCCAGCCGGACATATATTATCCTGAATTTAATCCCTTAAGACTAAATAAACAGAAGGCAATTATGGTAATCAGTTGCCGAGTTGGCCATCCCAATGATTGATGATTAAAAAAAAAAAAAAAGAGTTTAAATTTTCTTTCATTCAAATTCGAAGTTCTGACGTAAACTGTTAAATTGGCAGTGCATCATTCGAAGTGTGCAACATCAGCGTACTTATATATGCCTTAGACTCTTTATTTGTGCAAAAAAACGTTGTCAAAAATTTTACTTTCGTTTTTAAATCTAAAACCGGATGTTATCTTGACAATGGTAAAACACGGACCAGACGGATATGTAAATTCCGTGAACGTTTGCAAAGCATGAATGAGTGTAAGTAGCTCTTTCTACAAGAAAATATTCAAAATAAACGCGAGATAAAGGTATCAATGAAAATTTAAGCATTTTTTGAAGAAATTAGTATGCATAATTAAATTTCACACCTTCGCACATGCGCACACGTGTACTAGTTCAAACAGAGACATGTCTCTGGTTCAAACAACGTAGTTATGACGATTTTTCATTTTTCACCTTTTTAATTTTTTCATCAAATCATATTTGTAAACGTATTTCTGATAATTTAAATCTTTTAGACTAAATTAATTAGATACAAACCGCTGAAATGTAAGAAAATAACTTTGAATAGATCGATCAATGTCTGGTTCAAAATAGTTTACCTGTCACCTGAACAGGTAAATTTCAGCTGTTCGACAACTAATAAGCATTGATTAAAATGAGAAGGTATTAAAGTAGGGGTTGTTTTGATAGTACTTAATGTAATAATGATCATGTCACTTTTATGACCGGAAATGTGTGGCTGTTAAGGGTAAAAGGTTGGGTCAAAAAGATCCCGAATTATGTTAAAATGACCTTCTCTTAAGAAAGTCTTGAAAAAGTAGATGACCGTTTCATGCTTTACCCACGGAATATACGACCGTTTTGGAAGCCTTGGTATACAGTATACATGTATATGCGCGAAACAAATCAAATAAGTTCCGAATAAATGTTTCCTTGTTACCAATTTTTAACTGATGGTGATGATTTCTAACTGTGAAGAATAGACCCTTGTCAAAATAAAGTATTCAAAGTTTATCAACTGCACGATATTCAAAAAAGGGGGATGAACTTCATCATGAAGTCCAGTATATGTGTGACAGATTTTAAACTTGTGTTACAATTTACACGCACCTACAACCATAGTTTCGTCTGGAATTTCTTCGATGAAGCATTTTTTCTCTGTTTCGCCGATGTGGAAGTAAAGAGCATTTGTCAAAGATATGACAAGGACAAAAATAAAATATGAAACGTGTGTTTCCATCTTCTCAAGTTTGTTGTCGTGCCGAAAGGAAGTGACACGTCACACATGCGCATGTCGGTAGGAAAAATTCTATAATCAAAGTACTGAAGTACTGAACATCGGATGTGGATGGTCACAAGCACTTGTCTCAGAAAAATCACATCTGTATACCTGAAAGTGAGGTTAATGTACAGATATATATTTTTTTCTGAGACTTGTACGTGCGTGGATGATGAATAAATGACAGGGAATTTAACCTCGCCGTAAAAACTATTAAATTGAATTTGTAGTGATACAAATCAGTATACTCTGGTTTGTTGTCATGTATATAATTTTATATTATAATATATTAATGTTTGTATATATATAGATTATAACATTGCATTTTTCATATCAGACCCCTTATCAGCCCTATGTCATGATATCAGCCCGAGAGCCGACAGGCTCGAGGGATGATTTTGACCATGGGCTGATAAGGGGTCTGATATGAAAAATGACATGTTATGTTCTTTTTATCATATACTTCAGCAGAAGCCATACAGGCATGAAAACTTTTTTAAAACTTTATAAAATTCATTTATTGTATTATTTGTTTTGCCAGGAACATATATATATTGACTATTAGGTATACTGTTCCCAGGTTTTGCGTTTTTTAATAATATATTTTTTCTGTTTCCAAATATTCCTTCTGTTAGTCTACTTAGCTATGTTTTTCACTTAAATGTACCACTGAGGTTCATTTTCCGGAATTTGCAGAATGACGTCGAAATGCTTTGCGATTCCGTTAAAGAAAGGCATGCGATAATAACCGGAATCAGTTGATATAAACCGGAAACAGTTGATATATACCGGAAGCAGTTGATAACAAAAGTCATATCACACGGCTAAGACAATTCTTCATATTTATTAAATTAGTTTTATCAAGGGGTACAATTATACCATTATTTTATACAATTATATGATAAAACCGAGTTACATGTATATAAAATTTTCATCCATTTATTTATCATTCTATTCTACTATTCTAATAATAGTGCAGTGCAAGTGCATGGTGGACACTCTTTTGTAATAATTCGATTTTTCCTGGGACTATTATACTAACAAGTGAGTATAATAGTCCCAGATTTTTCTAATAGATTGCTATACAAATCCTCGGATTTGAGCAGGCATTCATATTTTCTCGCAAAACGTTGAATCATATTGCCGCAATTTGTGCTGTGTACATACTATTTTTTATTAATATCTTTTAATATTTAAACGCACCAAAGACATTATAAACCCTTATTTAATTCACCTTAACTAATTTTATTTTTGAATTATATTCTATCATATTGTAAATATAAAGATATCCGCTTTTTCGGTTCAGTAAATATTTTAAAATTGCTCATCCGATCAGTGGAGTGCTTCGAATATAAACGGAGGTTCATACCTGAACAGAACAGAACAGATATTCTTCCGCATGCGTTAACACAATTTTTCTGCATGCGTACATAGATATCATCAATGATTTTTTACTTATATATATATTTCTAACGACAAAACATTTTCATATTATCAATTTATGTTCTAAACAAAAATATTTTTATGAGTATTCATTGAAGAAATGAATTTATAACAAGCGATAAGGAATGTTAATTTGCACTCGATAATGTCCGCGTATATAGATCGGTTACCAGTCAAACACGAAAGTTACGTAAGCAGAAATCTCGTCGGCAACAATACATCGGAATGCCCTCACGGTCATCGCGATGCAAAAATAGTGTTGCCCCTGTGGTATGCAATAAACGTACCAGAATCGTCATCAGTAATCCCGTTGTATAACTTGTACAGAAAAAAAAATCTATAGATATCTATAACGTCACAGTACCCAAATTACACCAAGTACCCAAATTGCACCTATTCAACAAAAATAGCTGCGGAAATCTTACAAGTTTTCTTTGAGACTAAACAATTTTTATTTTTATAATTTGAAATTTTACACGTCTTTCAACATAGGTAAATATATTAAATATACACAAAACGTTCACAGTATATATCAACAGATGAAGCATTCCCTGGAAAAAGTAAATCTACGGAAACGTCGCCATGCGACGTTCTCAAAATGTCATCTTTTAAAAATGAGCAAATTAAACATGTTACAAGCATCCATTTCTTAAAAAATGAATAGTTAGCATGGAAAAATGTCAAATTGTTCAAAAAATTTGAAGAAATAAAACAAAACATCTGTTATTCTATTTTTAAGGATGTGAATTTTAACATGGATCCTCATTACAGAATCATGGATCGTTTGGTGGTCGGTTCAAATCCATTTTTCTATGATTCAATATGGATTCAAAATTAAATTGGTGTAACTATATAGTAAATAAGGATACGTCTACAAGATAAACACAGAATGGAAAGTTTTGTCTGGAGTAATAAAAAACGTAGGTGAAAAAACTGTCAAAATAGGTGCAATTTGGATACCCTCACGTTAGATATCAAACAAAATACTAAACCATTTTGAAAATACACCAATAATCAGAAAACAGACAAAACAGGATTCCAACACTACAAAACCAAAAATGGAAAATCAAGTTGCCGAAACCGTGATGATCCCGTCCTATTTTCGGTGCAAAATATACATGATATAGTTAACATGCATTTTATGTCCGGGTATCCACGGACACGTATATGAGGGTCGTAAGGGGGGGTACTTTTATGGCGAATAACGATAAAAAAAAATCTTGCAAAATGACGTTAACGGCAATTTTTGGTGTATGACGATAAAATATACATTTTTCTTTATGACGATAAGAAAAAAAATAGACTGATTTTGACGAATCACGTTATTAATAAATTCTTTCCAAAAATAACGGTAACAGATAATTATTTGAGACAACTGACGAATCTCGATAAGGATATTTTGACCAATCACGATAATTTTTTTTTAACCCGCAATTTGACGCTAACGGTAGCCGAAAATTACTGTTTGACGCCTGACGGTAAAGGGCATTCCTACCCTCGTATATGTATGGGATAAACCAATGAGTACAAATCTAGACACTATTAGTTATCTTGGTGTAATCAGGGGTGTACAGAATTTTACACCGGTGTGGAAAATTCATACACCCTGAGGCACATTTAAGACTGACACACCATTATTTCTATATAAATATTAGAGAAACAGGGGTTACAGGTGGACACGAGTGGACACAACGTTATTTCTATATAGATATTAGAAAAACAGGGACTACAGACGGACATAAGTGGACAAACCATTATTTCTATATAAATATTAGAGAAACAGGGACTACAGGCGGACACACCATTATTTCTATATAGATATTAGAGAAGCAGGGACTATCACCATTATTTCTATACAAATATTAGAGAAACAGGGACTACAGGCGGACACACCATTATTTCTATATAGATATTAGAGAAGCAGGGACTATCACCATTATTTCTATACAAATATTAGAGAAACAGGGACTACAGGCGGACACACCATTATTTCTATATAAATATTAGAGAAACAGGAACTACAGACGGACACACCATTATTTTTATATAAATATTAGAGAAACAGGGGTTACAATTAGGTGGACACGAGTGGACTCAACTTAATTTCTCTGTAAATATTAGAGAAACAGGGGCTACAGGCGGACACACCATTATTTGTATATAAATATTAGAGAAATGGGGGTTACAGGTGTATGGACACAAATGGACACAAGTGGACACAACGTTTTTTTCTATATAAAAATGTAAGAAACCGGGGTTGCAGGCGGACACATCTGGACAAAGTGCAATTTCTAAATAAAAATTAAAGAAACAGGGACTACAGACAGACACAAGTGGACACACCGTTGTTTCTATATAAAAATTAAAGAAACTGGTGGCTTCGTGTTTTTTATGATTTAAAGAACAATTACTCTTAGTTTGGATCAATTGCACGACTATTTCGGCAAGGTTGATTTACATGTAGATCTTAATTTTAATTAACAATTTGCCTTAGTTTCTCTCTGTAATATTATCTGCAAAAATTGTAAAAAGCATCTCCAAGGGCAATATAACTCCTATTATGGGTCAATTTATGATTTCGTCCATGTTTTTAATTATTTGTAGATCTTATTGTTTTTATTTATTTTTACTGCTTCTCTCTGTGTATCATATAGCATTCAATATATTAAACAAAAAATTCTATATTTGCAAACAACTGACATTTAAGGCTCAATAACTCGGGCCAAACTAGATTGTCCTATTTTTCTGAAAATTACATAGGCCTGGAGATAGATCTGACCTGTTGATAATTTTTAAATCAAACACTGCATTTTACACAAGTATTATTTTCTAAACAACAGTGGCCATGTTTGTTGATGGATAAAGTCCATGGATAAAATTTTTAAACAAGATAGCCAAAGGAACATGATTCAGATGAAGTCTGGTAACATTTGGCCGTAGTAGTTTCAGAGAAGATTTTTAAATAGTTTACAACAACGCGGAATCAAATGTTTCTTAGACTGGGGAATAATGGTTACACTTAAAAAGGTTATATGTATGAAAAATGAGGGTTATAATAGGTGCGTGCATGGGAAATGTGGGTTATAATGGTAAAACGAGCTAGGGTTGTGATGGTTACATGCATTGGGAAGGTTCCACTTGACCAAATCATGCTGTATCTTACGAGTTAAATCCTTGCTGAGACGTATAATACTTCTAATGATATGTATGATATGTTTCTGTTTATATGTATAAATCATGTTTTTAATTAAGTTCATTTACTTTCTCATCAGAAATTATGCTGGGAATTATTCAGCGCCCTCTATCGGTCAGTGTCCTCTCGCGGATGTAGCGATCGATAGTGAGTCGGAATATAACGACTGGATTAGTCGGGTTAGGAATTTGTTTGCAATAAATGTTTATATATATATATAAATCTGCTAGTAACGGGATATTAAAGTATTCTGAAGGTTTTCTGACTTCGTCCCCATTCACAGGTAACACCTGCCTAATATTAACTACATGTATTGTCTGTATATTCTTGATACGATGTTTTATCTCCTGATTTTACAGAGTGCACTATAA